ACATTCGCCTATTACATCCACAAGGAAGCGCTTGTTGCGGTGCTTTGTTGTCGTGCATTCAACTGGAAATTCAAATGAAAATGTAGATGCCAAGTGTAAGTTTAGCATAGATACATTTCCACTCGCTGAACCCTGACTGAGCGCTTGAGACTTTCGCTCTCCGTGACTCCGTCAAGCGATCATTCTGTGTGTGACCAGACGGGCTATGGTGTGACGTGCCCAGCACCATACTCTAGTGTGAAGGCGCGCGACTCGCCGGCACGTTTCTCTCACGCACGCAAAGAGAGCGAGAGAGTTACATTATACCACGCAAAATCGACGCGCTACATGTAAACGATTTCTTGTTTGTATTTTCCTGTCAAAATAACTGAGTTCATCTGGTATTATTCAGCTTTTAAGAACAAGCAGAAGAGATGCCGGTTTCTCCGGTAGTGGGTGGAAGTGGAACTAATGCGCAAACGGCAATCTTATTGGATGGCACCCATGCCTGTTTTAATTTCAGCAAATCAGAGCAAACGAATGCTGTCAAATGATTTACATTCATGAACCAAGCAGCTCATGTGTTGTAGGCCTATATTATATATGTGTTGTAGGCCTATATTTTTTATAGACTATAGTTGTATATTGTCATTATTATTAGTAGAATTAGTAGTAGGATTATCTTTTAATAATAATTACTATTATCTTACTTTTTTTTTTACAGAAACACTGAATGACCAACAATATCGTAAGCACCACCAGTTCAGTTTAAGTTCAGTTAAAATGACAAATATGCATTCATGCATGATTATCAAGTTTTAGTTCTAATTACTGAAGTTCTATCATTAAATAGGCTAATGCTTGATTATCATAATATAATGCTTGATTGACTGATTTTAAGAGTGTACATTTAGATATTTAAAAAGCTGTGCCATTCAATGATAAGCTGATTTTGTGGAATTATATATAAAAGCTTTTGCAGTTCAGTTAATGTGTAGAAGATAATGTTCACAGAATTAAATGTGACATTTGAAGTGAGTTGAGTCTTATTTTCCTCTATTTTTTGTAATGCATTTGAATAATATGGGGGGCATGAATCGCAATATATTGTAGAATCGAATCGCAATATGTTAAGAATCGCAATAATATTGAATCGTGGGCCAAATATCGCAATACTATCGAATCGTCACATTTTTGCCAATTCCCACCCCTAACAATGACATGCGCTCATATGCTCAGCACTGACCTACCAATCAGAGTTTACCTTTTACTGAACCTCATTGCCATATAAGTGAGAAATTGAGGTGCAGATATGAGAATTAGAGGAGAGAAGTTTGTATGAATGTTTATATACGGTAAAAAATGATTTTCTGAAGTTGTAAATAAAACAAAGATTATTGGAGCATGTTTGCCAAGAAAATAACTATTAGAAATAGTTAAATTACTAATTAGAAACGAATTAGTACTAATTAGAAAATTAATTCAATGTGTTACTTGCCATTGCTTCTTTGTATTTGTTTGGGAAATTTACTAGCAATGTCTGAGTTGAAAAATTGTTTCTACACCCATTTTTCAGTATATGTCTATTTTTTTTGTGGCAGCATATCTTATTAAAATTAAATCAATTAAAAATATCAAATTAAAAACAAGATGAAACCAATCTCCTAATTTTCAGCCCACTGTGATGTAGTCCAATTTATGAACAAATGACTTTTAATATGAACCAGTTCTTTTTAGTGAATCAAAACATGTAGAGCAACCAGTGTAGTCCAATTTATGAACAAGTGACTCTTATGAGCCAGTTCTTTTAACGAATTATGTAAAAAAAAACTCAAAAGTTTACGTTTTGAACGAGTTTATGATTTACAGTTTAACGAATCCTTCACTGAATGAACTCATGGAATCAGTCAGATGCGGTTATATAATCAACATTTGACTCACCTACACCGAACCGCAAGTTATCATTACTATCAGTGACGTCTGTCTCCAAATTAAACAAATTTTGTGTACTTAAGGTTTGTAAAATTTAAATCGGTACTGTTTGTTCATATGACATGTTCTTCATATGACATTTGCAACATTTGTTATAGTAAACAATATTCTAATTAAAAAGGTGTTTTAGGACAAAAAGGGCAGGAAAACATCAGCTGCCTTATTGTGACAACACCACAAGAGCCATCACATCAGTGCTGAAAAATGGCTCCAGTCCAGTCGCTCTCCTTCAATGATATGCTAACAACTGTTATTACAATGGAGTGGCATTTGTTGTATGCTTTTGTTGTGGATGTACTATGTGCCACATAATTCCAAGCATTCTTAAAGGGATAGTTCACCAAAAAACGTTTAGTTTTTTTTCTTCAGTAGAATAGTAAAGAAGATTTTTAGATGAAACCAGTGGTCCTGTGATTCATATAGTGCAAGTCACTGGCTACCGTCACTTCGGGAGTACATATACAGGCAAAACAAAAAGAATACCCATGGCTCCTGACGATACAATGAGGTCTTATGAAGCGAAAGCATCTTTCTGTGCAAGAAACTGAACATTATTCACAATATTATTACCTGTAATCCACAGCCTCAGCAAACAGCAGTCTGCAGCGCGAGCTTCCTGTCTCATTATGATGCTAAAAATCTAAAAAAAATCTAAAAATCTTCTTTACTGTTCTACTAAAGACAACAAGTCACTTACATATTGGATGGACTGAGTGTGAAAGCAAATTTGTTATGAAGTTTTGTTCACGCATCAACAAATAGATTTAAGAACCACATCACTACCGATTAATATCGTCAATCCAGAGCTAGTGTCCACACAGCTGATATGTTTCACTGTTGTAGCTTATCCACGTTGTGTGCATGAGATAGATGCTGAACACAGTCAAAACGTGCCATCTGAGAAGCGCTATTTAAACGTCTGTTTTAGTCACTGATTTCGAAACCGAAAATAGCTGTTTCGGCCAAATTTTTGGTCGCCGAAATTTCGGTGCATCCCTAATTTCAAAGTCCATTCTGTTCTTTCAGAAAAGCATTTCTTGAAATATCCTGGAAATAGCATGGTGTCTTGGCCCTCTGCTCTTGGCCTTGACCCTGTTATATGGATGGGTCAGATAGAACAGTGCTGTGGTTTATGAGCAGGTCTGTGATGTATTGTGCTAGGCAGTACAAGGCTATGAGTGGAGAGGAGCAGCAATGGCCTCCTCTAAGTGTCTGGGTTAAATACAGGCTGCAGAGGCGGTGATGTTTTAAAAGGGATGAGTGTGTGTGTACGTGTGAAAGAGAGATGAAAGCACTTGCTGTAGTTCCTCTCTGTCATTATAACTCAACATGCTCTGAGCTAGAGGTGAGAAATGTGCAAAGATGGCAATGACTTTGACTTATAAGAAGTTTGCTCAGCAGTCAGAGCTACCTCTCTCAGACCTAAGGCCCTGTTCGCACCAAACATGAATTTTCTGCTTAAAAAAACTGCATAACAAGTAAATGGAACGATTAACTGCTAGACACCAACGAGCCTTATGCTCACAAGGATTTTGAATGGGTCATCAATGTGTTAGGCTATGTCCTGATTTTTTTTTTATCCCTCCACTTTCCTGTTTATGACATTTTAAATTAGGGCTGGGCGATAAAATTGTATTTATCGACGGTACACCATTGTTGGTAACACTAACAATATAAAAAAAAATCGATATAGCGCTCGATATTTTCATTAAAATGCCACCACAACGTTGCCCAACATCAAATGGCAAATGTAATGAAAGCGGAAAGAAACTGTGCTACTCATATTTGCTTCACGGACCGTTAATCAGTTTGGACCATCAATGCCAGTGCAGCACGAGCCGATCTTGATCAAGCGACACTGTTTCTACAGCGCGGAGAGATCCAGTAAAGAAAGCATTTGAATTCGCCACAGAAGTAATAACATCGCTGCAAGATCTAGTGAGAAGCATTCAAAATTCTCCATTATGAACGGATCAAACCGCGCTGACGTGGAAACCAGGAGAAACATTGTGCCATGAATTAACTTGTTATAGGCCTAGGCTTTAATTCTACAGATCAGCAACGTTCACCATGGATTTAATGTAGTAACACTAACTGTAACCATGGAAGTTTGGCAGAAATAGTCAAATGCTTTCAAGTACATCACACATCTTTTTCCAGCACTTCAAAACTCAAATATTATCATATTTAAATGTTATTTTTGAATGTGATGACATTATTTGTTCATCCTTCAAAGATTACCCCCATTTATAAAACTAAAAGTTTCAAGATATAGGAAAACCCACACTTATTTAAAAATAATTTCTTTTAATATATATATACCGTATATATAATAAAAAAAATTCTCTGGCATTTCTTTCTTTTTGCTGTATCGAAAACGTACCGAACCGTAACACCACTGTGTCGTATCGAACCGAAACGTGAATTTTGTGAACCGTTACACCCCTACTTATTACATGTTGATCTACCTCAAAGTTTGCCTAGATTGTACCACACTTACGTTGCACACATTTTGTAACATTTTAAGTTCAAGAGTTTCTTTAACACTTACTTTTTTATTAAGACATAAAGGTCATTTTTGTTTACATTTTATTTTTGACTGCTAAAACTAATATAATTTGTTGTTTGCCTTAATAATGTGGATAAAAAAAAACAAAAAAACAGAGGTTTAATTTCAAACTTTTCTACTTGTCTTTAAAAAAAGAAAAGGTTATAAAAAATGTCAATAATTATCGATTCTGAACTATATGAAACATTATATCGTGATACATTTTTTAACAATTTCGCACAGCCCTATTTTAAATGATAATATTTAATATTTTTAATATTAAATTATAATAATATACACTACCTTTCAAAAGTTTGGAGTCAAATGTTTGTATTTTTTGAAAGAAATTAATACTTTTATTCAGCAAGGATGCATTCCAATAGTTTAGTATAAAACAATGAACCTCTTTTTGAAGTAGTTTTTATTGAAAACCACCTCATATCCCATACAGCTATTTGACAGCTCTCCACTGTGTTCACAGTTACCGATGTGGAGCTCAAACGTCTGCGAGATGCCTTCAAGAGGACCAGTGGCCTGTCTGTCTATATGACCCAGCAATGCTTCTACAGGGAAGTACTGGGCGATGGAGTGCCCCCAAAGGTTGCAGAGGTGAGTCAAGCTTTAATACAACATTAACATTTCAGTGCTGTCTCTTCATGTTTCAACAGTTTTGTGCTTGATTGTTCTGTCTCCCTCCCTGGTTTATTTATGGCAGGCTACAAGTAGTAGGCCTACATATTTGACAGTCTATTTACTGTACCTTTGATGCATTTAGATCATATATTTCTTTATATTTTGTGCTCAGACTGCATCCTTTAGTACATGATGATAGTCACAAAAACATAGATAAACTTAGCTGCAGTTTGACTAAGCTATTTCCCTGTTCGTGTGTATTTCTGTTTTGGTTTGCTGATGCTCTAAATACCCAAAGTCATGTGGTTACCAATTGTAACCCAGAGAAGCACTAACTGAAAGGGTGGGGCTTTATGGTAAAACACCCTCACACATCATCATCTGACATTTAAATACTTCCTCATGACCTGACCGCTGTAACCATGAGTTCATGTGGCCCTCTACCTGCCTGCTGTATTTTACAGTCTGATCTCTGTGAGATGAATCATACAGAGATCCCCCTCTATTTCAGCAGAAACCTTTCTGGTTTATACTTTTTCTGCTTGTTGTCATAGGAACTAGTATTTGCATGCCAGTGTGGCTGACTAGTTATTTTCATCTCGTTTCTGTGTGGATCTCAGCCAGTTTTATTGTGAAAAATGTATCGGATCAATACTGTAAGATCGCTTTATGAAGGGGACACTTCTCTTTGAATTTTTAGTGTCAATTAAAAGAAGTCCTTAAAACCGATGGAGGCCTTTAACAGGACTTGACTCTAAAGTCATGAATCTTTCGTCAGGTATTATGGATTTTCAGTCCTGGCTGCAATCCAATGAAATTCTTTCAGCTGAATAAAACTGCCACTCATCCGAAATTGCATAGTTATGTTTATTTTTAGCTCTTTTCCGAGTAGCTTGTACAGCTACATATCCTGATTTTTGCCAAGCACTTTGATGCTTTTATTGAGTGGGTCTATTACTAAAGTGATTCTTTCTAGCACTCTACACATGCACATGTCACTTAGCATGCTGTGCTGGTTAACTGACCATCGCCATCAGAAGGTTGAGATTTTCCTTACATTTTCACCTGGGCCCAGTTGCATAAACATAGCCATGATGCTAAAACTGGGATAGTGCACCCAAAAATTTAAATTAGCCCATCATTTACTCACCCTCAATTCATCCTAGGTGTATGACATTGTTCTTTCAGACAAATACAATCGGAGTTATATTAAAAAATGTCCTGGCTCTTCCAAGCTTTATAATGGCAGTGAATGTTTTGAAGTCTATAAAAGTGCATCTATCTATCATAAAAGTGCTCCACACGGCTCCGGGGGGTTAATAAAAGCCTTGAAGTGAAGCAATGCGTATGTGTAAGAAAAATATTCGTCTTTAACACGTTACAAAGTAAAATTCTAGCTTCCGGCCAAACGACCATAGCCAGTCTACTTGCGCCTAAAGCGCAACTTATGACGTGGGAAGTAGCGTAGTGCGTTATGGCGTAGTGTAAATATCAGCAGTACGTCGCATTACTCGCATAAGTTGTGCTTTACACTTAAGTGGAATCCGTTTGGCCAGAAGCTAGTTATTTTACTTTATAAAGTTTTAAATATGGATATTTTTCTTACACAAACACAAACACATCGCTTCGCTTCATTAACCCCCCGGAGCCGATTAACCGATTAACCCCCCGGAGCCGCACTCTTATGGACTTCAAAACAGAAACAGCCATTCACTGCTATTATAAAGCTTGGAAGAGCCAGGAGATTTTTTTAATACCTCTCTTTTGAAAGAAGAATGTCATATACACCTAGGATGACTTGAGGGTGAGTAAATTATTGGCTAATTTTCATTTTTGGGTGATCTATCCCTTTAAAGTGGTCATCGGATCCAAAATTCACTTTTACATGGTGTTTGCATATAAATGTGTCTTTGCAGTGTGTGGACAACCACTATTCACTGAAAAAAATCCATTCACTCCTTTTTTTTAATCCTCAAAAAGCCTAAACACTCTCAATAATCAAGCCATTTGGAATTTCATATTGCTCATGCTCCGCCCACGAGCACTGACGGACTGTTCCGTATTAGCATATTTACACCCTCAGCCATTTGTTTACTGTCCGCCAAGGCAGCACTTTACGTGTCTTGTGTCGACATGCCCCACGGAAGAGAGGGGTGGGGTGAGCAGTTGCTCATTATCATTTAAAGAGACATGCACCGAAACGGGTCGCTGTTAACAGAGCTTTTTTTGAGGAGGTAAAAGGGTGTTTTACACAACCATTGAGAAATTTTAACCAAAGTATGTTACAAACTTTACATGAAGACCCTAAAGAATCATACCAACTTGTGGAAAATGGGCATCTGATGACCCCTTTAAGAACTAGTATGACCAACTAGCAGTTAGTTAGGAGTAATCAGTCTTACTTTTCGGTATCAAATTAGACCAGTTTATGTTTTTATGTAACTGACTTAAAGGAGAACTCCAGCGCAAAATGAACCTTTGGTCTAATAAAACATTGGTACCTAGTCAACCGTTCTCTGAGATTTGTTTTCATGATAATCGAATGTAAAGAGTTTTATCTTTAAAAACTGTTTAGCGTATAACGCTAGTAATGGGGGCATAATAAGTAAAAAGAAATCGCTAGTTTATACCACTAACAAGATTTAAAATAGCCCCACACGAACACAGTAACATAATGAGGGTCCCTACATGCAAAACGAAGCATTGAGAACTTTGTAAGTGTACAGACCGTTTAATAAGAAGATAAAGATAAAGACAGTCCACTTCGTGTATACAGACAGGAGCCATCTTTGGAAAACAGTCTCGACTAATCAAACCACGAACTCCATTCATACAGTTCAGAAGTTCACTGAACTTCATACAGTTCAGCTCACTTAGCACGTCGTTCGTGGTTTGACTAGTCGAGACTGTTTTCCAAAGATGGCTCCTGTCTGTATACACGAAGTGGACTGTCTTTATCTTTATCTTCTTATTAAACGGTCTGTACACTTACAAAGTTCTCAATGCTTCGTTTTGCATGTAGGGACCCTCATTATGTTACTGTGTTCGTGTGGGGCTATTTTAAATCTTGTTAGTGGTATTAACTAGCGATTTCTTTTTACTTATTATGCCCCCATTACTAGCGTTATACGCTAAACAGTTTTTAGAGATAAAACTCTTTACATTCGATTATCATGAAAACAAATCTCAGAGAACGGTTGACTAGGTACCAATGTTTTATTAGACCAAAGGTTCATTTTGCGCCGGAGTTCTCCTTTAAATTTGATGACTAACTTCTAAGACTAGTCTTAGAAGTTTATGCAACCGGCCCCTGTACTCCACTGTCTAACCATGCTTCAAAATCGATATATTATTCACTTAACCTACATGCACCCACAAATGCATATAGATGACAGGTAGTCAGTGCCTGCGCCCGAGGGTGATTAATCTGCTGGCTGCAGGTGACATCTTGCACTGCGTCCATCATTGGGAGGCACAGTCAGGAGGAACCCCGAGCTCCCAGCTGCTCATTTCGTCGTTGTGATAAGTGGATTGGTTCCCCTGAATTCAGCTCGCAGCAGGCCAGCCATCACCACACGTTGATCTTTAACACCCAGCTTCATTAAATCCCTTGCAGCATCGCACACTTTTCCTCCCACTTCCTGTCTGTGCACGTGTCAGCTTCTGGAATGCTCTAGTTGATCATTACCTCCACCTTCAGTCACTCAGTGTTTGTATTACATCAAAGGGCAATGATTACATGCTACGGAAGCGTGCTACATTATTCATTATGAAAACTACTTTCAATAAGAATTGCTTCTGTGTTTGTGTATTATGCATTTGAACAATGTAGAAATAAAATGAAGCCGTTCTGTGTGCCACAACTAATTTCTATAACGCTTAAACTCCCAGAAGATAGTCAGAAAACAACAGTCTGTATTAGCAATTCATTTGAAATAGCCTACTTAATCTATTAATCAAACAGTCAAATCCCATATCGAATGCTGCTGAAAAATTAGGTCATATGTACATGCAATGTTTATTGATATGAGCATTGTACAGTCATTCATTTAATCAATGTTTACAAATATAGACATATTTAATTAAATTAACTGAATCAGTTGATACAGCAGTACCAGTAAGTACAAACTCAATATAATAAATAGAATTCAGAAAGTTTGTGACCATAAAGTCACCAATGTTAAGATTTTGATCGTTACCACAGAAACTGCTTGCACTTTTTGAACGCGCTTCTTGTGTATGGAAAGTATTTTGACGTATACTGGCAACTATAATTTTTGATATACACTTTTCAAAATGTATTTTCAATTGTAATATTAATAGGACAGTAATTTGGATGTAGCCTTTGTAAAAATATAAAACATACACGTGGAAAAAAATGACTGTATTTCCAATGTCGACAAACAGCAGCAGCAGTATTGTTTAGTCAACTATTCTTGCACTTCCCTAGTTCTGTCACAAAAGATCACATTGATGCAGTAAACATATGATGTGCTGTCAGAGCAGAATACACACCGGGGTCATCACAGTGGTTCAGTGACTTATGTATGTAAACGGCCCATAAGAAATGAATGGGTTCACACATACCAATGGCCACCCAGCATGAGGACTTTATATAAAGCTTTGGAAATTAAAACAATCAACTAAATGTGCCATATGTGAAACTGGAAGCTTTGTGTGGTGGTTTCAACATAGAGGTGGGAATCTTCACTTGTCTCCGATTCGATTACGATTTAGAGGGTAATGATTTAATTACAAAACGATTCTCGATGCATCTTTTTCTCCAATTATTTTATTAATCACAATATAGTTATTTTTGTTATTTATCTTTATTAAAAATAAGAACAAAGATGCAAATAACAAATACAATACAAGAAAGAAACAAATTTTCATTTTTTCATTTTACAACTATTTAAAGCTGCAGTCCACAGTTTTTCCTCTTTGTCGCCATCTCTGTTCGAAATCTGCAATTGCAGTTATTCGCGGAATTATCAACTTTACGTGAGTTGTACTTCGACACCCTCCACACGGCACAGCGCGGATGAACACAATGTTTGAGGAGAGTGTCCGGCTGTCAATCACCGCGCCGGTGTCGATACTGGCATTCAGAATCACAGATTTCTCTTTTTGGAAGTAAGACCAACATAATAATTTTCACCGGAAAATGTCTTCTGAACAAGTAAGAAACATCCGCTTTTGTTCTGGTTGTGACATTGCAGTAAATTGCGCTGATTAAATCTAACAATCGCTTATAAGTTATCATATCACGCAAAACCGTGCAAATTATACTTTGTTCTCAAATTGTTAATGTTAACAACGTCAGCATTGCGTGACTACATGTAATGTCCTTCCGATATGTATCCTTGTTTTCGCATGGGTCCGGTTGCAGTCTCTTTTTTTCTGTAGCCACTCCGAAGTCTTTTGCATTTTACAGCGGGTGAATCTCTAGTTGTCACTGGTGATTGTCGTTTGAACCTTTCTGGATCCGCCATCAAATTGATAAGTTTAATTATATCAAGTGCTGTGAGAAAAGGCTATAAATCTTCACCTCCAGCATCCTCACACTCATAGCCTACTAGCCGAGACTCCTTCTTTATGTGTACAGATGTGACGTAATGACTCAATATAGCTTATACTAGCCGAGAGACTCCTTCTTTATGTGTACAGATGTGACGTAATGACGCAAAGACATGCTCGAATCTCCCGCAGAAATCCACCAGTACCACTGGAATTAAAAACATTATTACAAGCTTACCACTTTGAATCGAGCTAAGGCAAGCAGAGAGTTTTGAACACTGGCTGGTTGTGTATTTTCTCAAATATGTATTTTGGATTATTTTTAACCCAAAAAAAGCTACGGACTGCAGCTTTAACAAAACATTTTTAACAAACGTTTTGTTTTATTTATTTATTTAAAATATATTTATTTATTTTTCACTTTTCTTTACTTGTTTGTTTTCTAAATAATTAGTTATAAACTATATAATTTGCGAGTACGAGTATAGTGGCCAGTAAATTGAATATCATATATTTAGCTAGGAAACCAAAAAATCCCTACCATTAGGCCTAAATTTTGTTTAGCCCTAGTTTAGTTTATTTATTTTTGTTAAATACATATTTTATATATTTATTTTTTGTTCTGTTTTGCTTAATTTTCATTTACTAATTTGTTTTATTTTCTTAAATAAATAACTTAAATACTTTTAGTAAATTTACTATCATGCGTTTAGTGGAAAGGTCACAGACATACATGTTTTCTTTGTTTTGTTTTATTTTTTATTTTTTATTTTAGTTAGGGTTGTGCTTAAGTAAATAAATATTTACTGGTTTTATTTATTTTTATATACTGGTTTTATTTATTTAGCTGTTTTTTCTATTATCCGTGTTTGTTTTAATCCACAAACATGTTAAGTGAATGTTTTGTCAAAAGTTCCTTGACAATTATGGGGAAAAAAGTGAATTTTGGACCCTGCTCAGCAGTGAAGCTGTAGTCCAACTTGTCAGTCAAGACTCATTTAAACTTGAACAGTTTGAACTTTTTCTAGTAAATTTTTCTTGTATGCCGCAGAGTGCTAGACTGTTTAGTAGGCATCAGGGGTGTGAAAATTGTACTTATATGTGGTGTTATTGGTAAGACATGGTGTCACACCAGGCGTAAAAGTGAATTATGTGTGCATGAGATGTCTCTGTGGAATAGAAACAGATCAAAAACTAGAAGAAAAGCATTTTACTGGTAACCCTCCTGCTGTGCCATATTTTGCAGGGATATTTTTTTTATTCATTTATGTAGCCCTGCAGTGTGGGTAGAGAGAGAATGTAATGTTTCTCTGTATTAAACTAAATGTTGTCTGCTGATTTATGGGGAGATATGTATCTATCTAGGGTGCATTATTATCATTAAGAGTCTGATGTTTCTCTGAATCTCAGCGGAAATCAAAGGTCTGAGATGACGGCTAACACCAGGCTGTCTGTCTTAAGCGCTTTCTGCTTCAAACACCAATAGAATTCATAATAGTGTACTGACCTGAAGTAATGACCTTCTTTGTTGTGTAACTACAAATACACGTTTTCTTTAGTTGCATGGTGTGTTGTGTGACTTTGTCCTGTAAATGCCTGTAAAAACTTTTTACCAATGCTTATTGGTAACAATTTATTTTAAAACCTAATTTGTATTAATAATCATCATTATCATTATTATACTGAACTGAGTATGTTATTGTCATCTGTGTAATCTGTGTATATTTCACTGTATGAACTTTGCATAACCATTATGTGCAATACAATGCATAATTTCCTGTGTTCTGTAGAAAGGGGCATATACACTGACAACTAAATCATTGGAAGTTGCCAAATGTCTGAGCTTTTAGTTTTTAGAAAACATTACTACTTGACTGCATTATCCAACTGTATCAGGTGGTGGATAGCAACCTGCACTCCCATTAGTAGTTTCTGCGTCATTGCTCAATTGCATAAAGTTGAGTTCAATGGCAAAATTTAGCAAGTTATTTGAACACCGAATTAAATGCTGATCAATTGTGTGCATTTTAAGGTGATACATTTAATGTGCATCCTTCCTTCCTTTCTCATCTGTTGTAGGTGATCTACAGCTCTTTTGGTGGCACATCTAAAGGGCTACACTTCAACTACCTGATTGTCGGGCTGGTTCTGTTAACAAGAGGACGCGATGAAGAGAAAGCCAAATGTAGGTGTACAGAGGGGCACATGCAGTCCACTCAACCCAACCTTTTATATTTTGTTTTGTATTGTAATTCAATTTACTACCTCTTTGTTTGATCATTTCAATTACTCTCTCTCTCTCTCTCTCTCTCTCTCTCTCTCTCTCTCTCTCTCTCTCTCTCTCTCTCTCTCTCTCTCTCTCTCTCTCTCTCTCTCTCTCTCTCTCTCTCTCTCTCTCTCTCTCTCTCTCTCTCTCTCTCTCTCTCTCTCTCACTTTTTAGTTGCTTTATTCTTAAGATTTAAAGCATCAGGTCTAAATACCCTTGTTCTGCCTTGCACACGTGTGTGTGTGTGTGTGTGTGTGTGTATACTGTACAGTATGATGTTAATTTCGCATGTCACAGGAGATGCCCGAGTAATTCCATTACAAACATCAATCTAAACAAGCACACCTCAGGCTCAGCATATTCAGTCATCCAATGTTATTCAGCTTTGTTTAGCTCGGTGTTTCTTTAGTCAAACTTGTAGCTGCATACTCTCTGGAGTGTCACACTGTGTCCCTGACCGCTGTGATTGATGTGAGAGTGCGAGACACATTGCCTGCTAGACTCTGATAAGGTGTGTGTGCATTAACCAGCATGTCCTCTGTATCCACAGACATCTTCAGCTTGTTCGCCAGTGATTCGGGAGCCTATGTGGTCCGGGAGGATGTGGAGAACATGCTACGTTCAGTGGATGGGGAGGTCCCGCTCTCTCTTAGGAAGTGCTTCACGGAGGTCAGTGCAGGAAGACTCACCTGTGTTATTTACCTGTCTCACCTGCTTGTCAGTAACGACTTCTCAGACCAATCACCATGCCCTCCAGCCACATGGTGTTAAAGAGATATATTTAGATTTTTCTTATTGAAAATTACTCATTTCACATTATTATGAAGATAAGAAATCAAACTGCATTTTTAGGATCATTTAGGAACAAGTTTATAGGATAATCCAAAAAATAATAATTATATATATATATATATATATATATATATATATATATATATATATATGTGTATATTTATATATGTCAAGCAATTAAAACTTTTAATTCTAATTAATTACATGATGTACTGATTAATCGCAAAATAATCACACATCAAATTTGGTTGGGAAATTACCCCCAAAAGATCATTTAAATGTATTATTGTGTTGAATGAGAAAAGCATTTAGGCATTACAAAAAGTAGCTCTAGAAAGAAATATTTTTGATTCAACAGAATTTATTAAACAAACTTTTAGGCTACAAGGGCCATGATTTTTTTATTCAGAAGCTGCATCTGAAATGGTATATAGTAGGGATGTAACGGTACACAGATGTCACGGTTTGGTACATAACTCGGTTTTGGGGTCATGGTTTGATACGAGTTTGGTACAGCAGGAAAAAGCAACAAATCCTCAAGGTTTCTTTTCATTTATTTTGAACAGACAGTAGTGCAAATTTGTTCCACCTAGCGGCATTTAGTCCCCCCTGAGGGAGTTGGTACAGTACAGCTTACTTTAGTGTATTAAGCACTATGCGGATGCACAATGTTCAATATTACGCTTTTTCAAGAAATCATGGAAAGATGAGCCAGAAGAAGAAAAAGTGGCATCTTCATCTGAGTCTACTTCACCTTTCCAAGAGGAGACAGCAAGTGAAGCGGCACCTTAGGCTTCCCATTTCCAGGACTCTCATATTTCATCACTGGACTGTAATGAGATTTCCATGACACAAATCGTCACGATGGCAAATGATTTTGTCTCATTATAACAGCGGAAACAACTTTAAATACTCTGTCAATTATAGCATAAATTATGGTCATACAGATGACCAGTAAGACATCATTCGAAACTCTAAAGTGTCTTTTTTTATTTGTGTACACTACACTCACAATAAAAACAAAACATTGTGCTTTTGTAAAATAAAGAAAACAAACAGGTTGCCGCTTTCTACTGTCCCGGTTACCTTTCCATGAAGTTAGTGGAGCGCGTCACAAAAATGAACCGAAACTCAGCTTATAGGCTTCTAGCAAGCTCTTGCATGCAATCTGAGCTCTTGTTTTGGGTTGGTGCATAGATTGTCTCTTCTTCTTCTGCTCTTTTTCCTGTTGTGGCGGTTCGCAAACAGCGTTGCATTACCACTCACCCCCTTCTGGGTTGGAGTGTGGATCGCCTGTGACTGACTGTATTCGTTGTCAGACTGTATGCACCGAACCGTGATGGTTCGGGACGAATACACGTACCGTTACACCCCTAGTATTTAAATATATTGACAGACTAAAACAGTTTGGTTACCAACATTCTTCAAAATATCTTCTTAATGTTCCAGAAAGGAAAGAAAGTCATACAGATTTGAAACGACATGAGGGAGAGTAAATATAAATAAACAGAATCTTTAAAATATGAAATTATTTCTTCAAATGAAATATTACTCTAAATAGGAAACTAAAACTTCGATTAGGTGGCAGTAAATGTCTCAAGTCATTGAGTCATTTATTCATTCGATTAGTTCAAACAGCTGATTCATTCATGAATTAAGTAAATGGCTCTCTTTATTAATTGGCAATTGAATAATTGGTTCAACCGAATGATTGGCTCAAAAGGCGGATTTATTCAAAAATGAAACACTGCTGTGTGTTTGGAGACGCACAACAGTTCTGCTCTGGCTTTATAGGTGATATTTTCCTTGGCAAAATTTAGCAAAAATTGACAATATTGTCTCTAAAATATAACACAATATTAATTGCTCATTTATTGAAGTGTTATATAAAATCAATATCACATTAGCACTCAAGCTATTTGGTATAAAAACAGCACTTGTGTGATATTGTGCTCATTACTTGTGATAAAAACATGAGACAAAAAATCATACAGGCCAGGGCATTTTTGCCCCAATATCTTGAATTTTAAGGGCATTCTAACTGCATTCTGAAGGCTACATCATGCAGTGACCTGTTGGCCTGCATCACGTTAAATGTGTTAAATCGCTGTACATACGTTTTAAATCGACAGCCCTAAAATAAAATAAAATAATTTCCAAAAAGCAAAAAAATGAATGTGGTAAGATGAATTTTATTTGCAATATTCTGATATTTCACTAATTAAATTGCATAAATAAGACAACTTGGATTGAAACATGGCTATAGTCATGTCATCTTTTGGATTTCAAGTCAATAGAAATGCAGGCTGCTTTTGAAAGAAATGTGTAGATATGTGTGACTATTTTGTTCACTGATAAATGGATTACATGCCTATTTAAACAATCTTTTTCAGACACTTATTTCATTGATTGCCAAATTCTATATATACAGTACCTTCTGAACCGTTGGCCCTATTTAAACTTGTGTTTACTGAGAGAGCTTCCTCTGTATTATAGCTCTAATAATAAGCTTAAAAGGTTGACAGTGCAAATGTTGAAGCCAACAAGGTCACGTAATATGGCTGTGACTTACATTCCCCCCTATTTCTCTATTAGCTCTTCTTCCAGTTGCACTGTTTTCTCAGCCTTCGTTCGTCCTGCATCACTTCTTGATTTAGGGGAAAGCCACCCAGTGCAGCACTTTAGTTGGTTATCTCTTGGCAGCGGCTCAAAGACTCTCTCTTATCTCTTTACCCAAACCACTCGCACAAATGTATCTGCATACAGCAGAAAGAATTCAGTTCATATTAATAATGAGAGAACTTCCCCTTCGCTCAACAAGGGGAAGCACACAGTCCAACTTCTCAATTCTGCACTGTTTTGTCATGCACTTTATATTGGTCATGGGTTCATTAGAGAATTGTACTCTGGTGATTATTTATAGTGTTTCTGTGTCTGTTTCTGTCCAGGGAGAGAAAGTGAATTATGAGAAGTTTAAGAGCTGGCTCCTGCAGAATAAAGATGCTTTCACATTCTCCCGCTGGCTGCTGTCAGGTGGCGTGTGCGTCACGTTGACCGACGACAGCGACACACCCACCTTCTATCAAACCCTGGCAGGTGTCACACACTGTAAGTGTCACTATTCTCTCGGGGTACTCTCTGAATACTTCCTCTCAATACACTCTCAAAACTATGTCTGTACTCTTTGAATACTCTCAGTCTGGGTCTGGAAGGATTTTTCTCCATTCATTTTCTTCATAGCGATTACAATTATTTTATTTATTTTTAGATTTTGTGCTAAGCCTTGAACTAAACCAACATCTCTGAGGATTGATTTGAAGTAAAAAAAATAATTGAAAAAGAGGAGGGTACAAGACCATAAACTTGTGCACTTTTTTAAAGGAACTGAACTACAGTTAGAAAAAAATTACTGTACAATATAAAATTATTGGTGTACTCTACCATTCAAAAGATTTTTAATTGTTTTGAAGGAAGTCTCTTATGCTCACCAAGGATGTATGTATTTGATCAAAAATACAGTAAATACGGTAATATTGTGAAATATTATTACAATTTTAAAATAACTGTTTTTTATTTTATTATATTATAAAATGTAATTTATTCCTGTGATGGCAAAGTGGAATTTTTAGCATCCATTAATCCAGTCTCCAGTCTGTATTGCAAAACATTAAAATATATAAACATAGATAAGTTGTTTGATAGTGTAGAGACTGAATTGATTAATCTGGTCTCGTTTCTAATGGTAACTGCAACTTCTCTGATTGGTGAATCAAGGAAGATCTTTCTTCAGAGTTACGGGTTGTTTAGTTCTTAATTTGGAATTTGGCAACTGTTGAAAATCACACTGACTTGTGGCTTTTGCAGGAAAATATACCATCAGTCTTGGAGCTCATGATGGGTCCGCCTTGAAAAATGTGTAAATTATTGTAAAAAAAAAAAAACTTTTCTATGGAGAATTCTATAGTATTTTAGTGTTTTCCCCTTTAACTTCCTTTTCAGTTTACTGTTATTACTCTCTGAATATGCTCTCTGGACTGCCTTTTTATGCAGATATGCTCAGTGTTTGTCACTTTAGAGGCATCCGTTTAAAGAAATCTGTTTAAGTGACTTAGTCTTAAGTTATTATTTAAATTTACTAGTGACTTTGTATGTCGCTGAGGCTGACAGTAATCTGCTCTTTGATAGTCTATGCTGCAGATGTTTAAGTTGCAAGTCTCGTTTTGTCCACTTCCCTCTTCCCCCCGACACACAGAAGGCATCAGCGAATCAGTCGGCCTGCCCTCCACCGGGAGAGAGGCATCTGTGTGAGATAATGGCGAGTGACAGGCAACACTTCCCACTCAGTGAACACGCTTCCACACCACTTGCACACACTCGGCCCTGCTGCAGCTGTCACTGCCACCCAGTTATTAAAACCAGACTGACACAGCGAAGGAAATGGCTGTATTCTCTCAGAGACCCTGAGCCTGCACAGTGACAGAATGTCTGAGCCCTCGCTCTTCTTATGGAGACAATGATTTATTTAGGTGCTGAAGATCTCCCTCCTGCTCAGTCACTCAGTGCTTTTGCTGTCATGAAATCATAATGTGGGAAGCGGCTTCAAGTCTGTAATGTTTGCAGTTTTAGGTGTACTCAATTGACCCCCATTTACAAGTGAACACACTGTGATAGCCATTTATTTTAGTATTTATAATAATAATACTATAATTATTATTTTAAATGTATATAATTTAAAGTTTTTTTTAATGGCTGTTTAGGTGTGTTTAACTGACATACATTTTTTAAAGTATAAATATTGCATGTAGTGTCTCAATTAATAAGGAATAGGTAACTAATGACTAAATCATAAATAATTTTAATATTTCAAAAATACTCTGATGTTGTTTAAAATAAATCTGGCTACAATATAACAATAATCATGTTGTTTGTATCGTTCATTTATTTATCTATCTATCATTTACATTTTTAGTATAATGAAACCGTAATGGATCCGTGCAAAGTGAACGCAGCCATATGTGTCTGTCATTAATGTTGTCGTCAAAACAACAAAAGATAGCTTTAATTGTAAGGAATCAGGATTAAATGCCTGTGTATAGTCTTTTAGCCCTGACTAAATTAAATACAGTGTTATTATACATTTGATTACTTTATTCAGTTTCAGTAGTATTTCTGAATACTAGTGTTAGACCTATCCAAAAACTTTTCTTTTTATTTGTACCTTTATTCTATTGTATTTATTTGTGCTACTTTTTTCCCCAATTTAATTCAAAGATTGAAATCAAACTTCCATGTGTAGCATAAACTCTTAACAACAAAACATTTAAGATAAAAAATGTCTAAAAAATATATATATTTGTATTGTAATAAATCTATTCATTGAGTCGAATCGAAAATCGAATTTAGAATCGAAATCGAATTTAGAATCAAAATCGAATTGAGAGCTTGCGAATCGAAATCGAATCGAATTGGAACATCTGAATCGATACCCAGCCCTAATTTTTACCCTTTTCTTAGATTATCCCAAAATACTCTTGTTGCATTAAATTGACCAGGCATTGAGGTGTCTTTGTGTTTACAAAAACTGACTCCCACACTGTAACCAAACAAAACAATTCTTAGTTTTTTTGTTTTTTTTTGTTTTTTGTCTGGTGTACAATTTTACATGGAAAATATATGTTGTTTTAAGGATGCATTTTTTACTGGAAATGTGATTGTGAAAACCAATTCAGTTTGTTCAGACGTTGGAATTGATTATGCTGTCTAGGTAGGCTAAACTCAGTAGGCTTTGGAGCACTGCCATTAATGCTGGGCAGGAGCAAGCCAATATTGACATGCCTCCTGTTCTGTTTGTGATTTAAAACAGTTGCTATTGGTTACTTGAAACAGCATACACAGCAGTTGTTTGCCTTTGTCATTAATCAATTGACTGTATACAGTCATTATTGGAAGGTTAATTTATGTGCTTTTTTGTGTATTAGTAAGACCATGATCGATTCGGTTTATAGCATGTTTCTTCATTACAGAATGAATGCAGAAGGTTGGGCTTCATTCTTTTCACTGTTACCCAGGCAAGATACTTTCATTCTCAGATACAAGGTAGAAAGTCAAAAAACACAAAAGCAAGTGATTATGCAAATAGCTCAGTAAAATTAGAATAAGTTTGTCAATCAAGGACAGCTTTGGCTCTCCATCTCTGGCCAATCAGAGAAGCTACCTGGGCAACGCACTGTAATCTGCGGCCCGCTCCAGATTATCCTCTTAGCTCAGTGAGAGGGCTGTGTGTGTACTGTCAGTGTGAAGTAGTCATGATCTGTATGATCTGTTTGAGCGTATATGGGTTTATGAGTTCATGCACTGTCCAGAATATGTCTCACACCAGGCCAAGTGCAAACTGGCAAGAGGCCTATCAGAAAGAAGAAAGTGATGACTGGATGACAATAATCTGCGAGAAAGAAAGGAGTTGGATTGCATACGGAGATGGAGAGTAGCTGTATTTTACCAACGTAGCGGCAGCTTGTGTGGAGTTTGTCATGGTACATGCCATATCTAACAGCCAGAGCTGTGACATGTGCAGTGGAATATGGTATGGTTCTTCTGCTGCCACTCTGATAGAATCGCTCCATTAGGTGAGTTCTTGAGAGAGAGATATATATATATATATATATAGCTATATATATAGCTTTATGGACACATTGTTTGTCAAATACACACCTCCAATACATTTACTGTTCAAATGTTTGGGGTCAATTAGGTGGGTTTTTTTTAAAGTGTTTTTGAAAGAAGTATCACCCAGGGTGCCTTTATTTGATAAGCAGTAAAAACAGTAATATTGCGAAATATTACTTTTTAAAGTATCTGTTTAAAATGTAATTTCATCCTGTGATGATAAAGCTGAATTTCAGCATCATTACTCCAGTCTTCAGTGTCACATGATCCTTCAGAAATCATAATATGCTGATTTGCTGTTCAAGAAACATTTCTTATTATTATCAATGTTGAAAACAGTTGTGCTGCTTAATATTTTTGTGGAAACTGATGAATGATGAATAGATCAATGAGAAGAGCAGCATTTATTTGAAAAAGAAAATGTTTGTAACAAAAGTTGAAAGTTAATTTCTCTCTCTCTATATATATATATATATATATATATATATATATAACAAAATTAAATAATTAATTTCATTTTTAAAAGTATTAAATATTCTATTTAATGTCTTCAATGTGAGGTTATAACTAAATAAGGGGTTTATCATTGCTGTTATTTTTTTCCTACAGTATAGAATGAAATCTCATATTCCCACTGGCATTTAAATAACAAACACTTTCACATCAAAACAACACATCAAAGATGGCACTGATTCTGTCCCCAAGAGAGATGGCTAATGTTTGTGATGTTGAATACATAAGTGTGACATTGTGTCTCAGTCCAGACCTGTAATGGCTTTGTCATGGACTGTTTGCACTCTGTGCCCTGTTACAGGACAGCAGGAAAAGTAATAGAAACGTAGCTCAAGTAATAGGTGAAATGGGGTTTGACAGCTTGAGAAGGCCCGACGGCATCGTGCTATAGCCTAAGAAACAATGCCTGTCCTCCTGCCATGATGCATTGCTGGACAAGAAGATATCATAAGCCACAGCAAGCTTGAAATAAACTGCACATGGTGTCTCATTTTAAGATGTGCTGTAAACATTCAGGTTTGCTGATCTGTACGGTGCATAATAAGTGTTAGATTAGTAGTCGCTGTCCAATGCACAAACAGTGAATAACACTCAAGCAGTTATTCAGTTCCTTAAAGTTGTACACTAATTATTGTTCTAGGTAATAATAATGTTGCTCTGAATAATGCTAATTATTCCTCACTGCATTAAGTGGTGCACTGTAATGAAGCTTCATTCCAGAGGGAAATTTGTTAAGTGTTTTTTGGCTGTAAATGCATCCTGGATGTGAAGTATGTTTTAGGACTACTGTCAAGATAGATTTCCTCTCCTAACTGCCCCTGAAATGACACAGAGTCATTGATCGTGATTCGTGGCGGGATGGTTTGTAACCCTATAGATCCCCAGACTGTTTTCTGTGTTTCTGGCCGCTACGGTCTTTCAGTCTTCGGCCCTCAGACAGTAGATCTGCTCTCCCAGAGAACTATGGGAAATAATGACTATTGAGCCCATCCATTCAGACTTCCAGTTGTCCGTCAAACCACAGAGGTTTAGCTGTGCTGCAGCAGTCTGAGATAACGGAGGAGTTTCAGGGCAATCCAGAGCCTGTTCATTAAGATGCCTTTTATTCCTGTCCCGAGAAACCCCTAGGACATACTTTTGTTTGGATCAGTTTGCTTATTTATTTAATTATGGAGTGCATTCTCTGAAATGTATTGTGTTTTGAATAGAGTGTAGTAGTCTGAAATGAACGTCAGGCTAAACAAAAGATCAGATTTGTATTCCTGTGTTTTGACACTTGCCTTATGTGTGATGGTCAGTGTAGGAGGTGCAAGACTAATCCTATTAGCCTAAGCTAGAGATTATTGCAAAGCAAGAGGAGTTGACCTAGGTCCGCTTAACAAACTAAAAGACTGGACTATATATGGCTTTACAGAGGGGGGTAACCTGAGCCATGCTTTCACCTAGTAGATGTTATGTAATCACTTGGCATAAATGTTAATGATCACACTTTACAATAAGGTTCATTAGTTAACATTAGTAAATGTATTAACCAACATGAACTAACAATGAGCAATACATTTGTTACTGTATTTATTAATCTTTGTTAATGTTAGTCAATAAAAATACAGCTGGTCATTGTTTGTTCATGTTAGTTCACAGTTCATTAACTTAATGTTAACAAATACAACATTTGATTTTAATAACGTATTAGTAATTAATATTAACTAAGATTAATTAATGCTGGTTTCTTCTTAGTACATGTTAACTAAGGTAGTTAACTAATGAACCTTATTGTAAAGTGTTACCATGTTAATCATAATGGGAGCCCATTTACAGTCTGCAACAGCTAATTTATTATGTTAAAAAAATGATCCATCTAAGTGTCTGTTTAAAGAATAATTCATCCAAAAATGAAATTATTTATTGAGGCTGAAAGTAGTTTTTCACCCTCATGTCATTACAAACTTATATGCTGTAAAAGTAGTGAATATCAACACAATTCTTGCAATATAACAAGCTACAAAAATTTGTAAAATGACAAAATAGTGCCATAAAACTATATGACTAGAGACTAGTGTGATATATTCCAAGTCTTTTGAAACCATATGATAGCTTTATATGAGGAACATGTCTATTTACTTGTGGTGTTATTCATAAAAATATCTACTTTTGTGGTCATGTTGTTTCAGAATATATTTATAATATTATAGTATTTATTAATATTTTCAAATAGCTTTTATTTAAACATTTAATTTATTTATTTAAACGTTATTTTGTTTGTCATTTTTATTTTATTTTGTCATTTTTATTAGTTTTTTGTATTTCTGTTTAGCTTTATTTTTATTTCAGTTGTATTTAGCACTTCAGCTTCAACTTGTAGTTTCAGGTTTAATAACATGAGGGTAAACAACATGGGGGTGAAAACAGTCAAAACAGTTTTTTGTAAACAGTCCCTCCCTAAATGACTACCAATGGAGTCATTACATAGAAATATATGACTGATATTCAATTACACAAGGAGCACATGCCCAACTGATCCTTGACACTGCACATTAAAAGATTATTTCACAGAGAATCTTTTTGTTTTTTGTTTTTTACAGAGAATCTGATTTCTTGTGTTTTCTTTCTTGCAGTAGAAGAATCGGACATTATCGACTTGGAAAAGCGCTACTGGCTGCTGAAAGCCCAATCAAGGACAGGCCGCTTTGATTTGGAAACCTTTGTCCCTCTGGTCTCGCCCCCTATTCATGCATCGCTAAGTGAAGGCAAGACAGAATTCATTACAGTAATTTTAAAAGGTTCCCAAATGGTTTAAAACACACAAACACTCACTCATACATCCACCTGCTAGCCGTGTGCTTTGAACACATTTGCAGCACCCATGAAAGCACCCATCTTATTTTAGTAGAAGTATGACTTTGCTTTTGAAATTTATAGGATCATGTGTGATAAAAGATTATCTAAATGCTGACATTTTCTCCCATTTTCCAGGCTTGTTTCATGCCTTTGATGAGAATCGGGACAATCATATTGACTTTAAGGAGATATCGTGCGGGCTCTCAGCTTGCTGTCGGGGCCCTGTAGCAGAGAGGCAGAAGTGTAAGCATTTCATTTCCTATCATCCTCTCTTAGTTGTTCATCTCATTCCACAGCTGATGTAGGATTGTTTTATGGTGTTTCTTCAAACATTTTAAAACATTTTTGGAATAAAATCCTTTAAGGCTATTTTAGCTAGCATAATCAGTATTCTAAATACACTCATAATATTTCCACTATTTATGCACAAATTATAATAAAAAATGTTATTTAAATATGTTTTTTCTTAAATGAATGTTTAAAAGTTCCCCATCTAAAGGTAGGGACACACCAAACCGACGCCAAAGAACTAGCGCTGAGGAAAGCCGACTGTTTTGTCGCCTCGCGTCGGGGCAAAAAATCTGTGCTTGAATACACCGAAAGAACTACAGCCGACTGTCAGCCAGCACGTGTGTTCTGCGCCTACGTGTAAAGGAGATAACTGTCTATTTAAGCAGATATATTCGTCATTCAAAGAAGCGAAGTGAAACTAAGAATGTAGGTATACAAACTATAAACAAAGCAGCACTTGCTTACCATTTTGAATATCAATCATGCTGATCAGTAGTTTATTCCACTCCGCTCATGTTATTATGAAACTATTCGCCCAGTGGAATGCACAGGTAAGATGATTTGAAATTAGAACAGCCTTCTGTCTGTGCCGTCATGACTTCTTTGCTCACTTTCATCACTTTTGCTCTTATTGCACTGACTCGTTCGCTAAACTGAACAGCCAATCAGAGTTCTCTCTCTGACAGACGGCCCGGCGCTGATTCTACATGTTGAATCGTCCGGAAAAACCCAGACGGATTTCGACTAGAGCCAACGGTGCGGAACACACCGAAAAAAAAGAAGTCGGTCGATGCTCAAAAACGGCCCAACATTGTCCGATGGCCGACCGTCGGCTTGGTGTGTCAATGGCCAGGTTTACTAACAGCTTGTGCCAGTGCAAACCCTCTTTTGCCGTTAAAAAACTACTGTCAGGATTTACTAAAGACACGCAGTGAAAAAATAGCGCTGAAAAGGCGTGGACAGTTATTTTTGCGGCTCACCTTATTGCATATGAATTTGTAGGTGTTTCCCTTTCAGATGCACAATTAATGGGAGGAGAGTATTTAAATAAATCATGCAATGCAATTTACTAAGGTTTGCGCTAGTCAATTCACTGGTATTTGCACCATTATTTAACGCCCAAAAAAGCGTGTCTTAAACCAGACACTAATTTGCACTGCTCTTGGTAGATTGCATTGGTCATTATGGAAACGATCTGCGTCTGTGTTCTTTAATTTGCGTGTCTTCAGTAGATCACTCGCAGAACTTTCCACTCCCATCTGCCCTTATTTGGAATTGCGCTCTCACGCTAATTTGCCCTGTTTAGTAAATCTGGCCCTAAATCTCTTCTTTCTTGTCTGCTTCAGTTTGTTTTAAAGTGTTCGATGTAGATCGGGATGGAGTTCTGTCCAGGGATGAGATCCATGAGATGGTGGTGGCGCTGCTGGAAGTGTGGAAGGACAACCGTACAGATACCCTCCCCGTAAGTGTCTAATCGAACTTAAGTCCACAGACAAAGCAATAAGCACATGATACGGTTTAGCTATTTGATTAACCTTTTGTTGCTAAACAAATTACTTCCTTAGTATTATATATGTTTGTGGATATGCCTATGAGGTGATTCATGCATATGAGATGCAATCATGTTTTTGCAGGTATGCACTAATGTGGGATAATACATTTAAATTAAACACAAATCAATTCATTATTGATTTGTGCATCCTGAGTTGTCATTGTATGTCTTGCATCTAATAGAAACCTTTCATGTCAGTTATAGATTTCATGATGATACTTCCTGATTTATGTATCTCTATTTTTCAGGAGTTTGATTCCAGCGTGTCAGACATTGTAGAGGACATACTGAAAATGCACGACACAACAAAAGTAATTAGACTTTCTTTTCGATGTAGATTTGTCATGCTAAAAAAAATAATTAGTTGATATCAATTTCAATTAATTTTCACCATTGCTGATACCAATTTCGGTGCAACAGCAAAAACTGTAAATTCCCTTTTAATTAAAATGTTATGTTTCAAAATAAATTTTACCAAATGAAATAAAACATTGGCATATAAATAACATTTATTTCTGAGTTAAATAAACATTACTTGCATTTGTTTGTTTTTTCCCTAAGGTTTTTTAAGGTTTTTCTTAGATCCAATATTTAAGGACATTATATGCGTCATCTGTGCTCAAACATTTGTCTTGTGTTTTACTCACAGCACGGGCACTTAACACTGGAGGACTATCAGATATGGAGCGTGAAAAGTGCCCTCGCCAATGAGTTCCTCAATTTGCTGTTTCAGGTAAGATCCTACATACAGTATTTTTGGACAAAGTAACAAAATACAAAGTGCAGCCAGTGCAGCAGATGTACGTTGTTATCTTGATTCTGGCCTTAAATGGCTTGTTGATCTGTTGATCATTAGGTGTGTCATATCGTCCTGGGCTTGCGTCCTGCTACCCCTGAAGAGGAAGGCCAGATCATTAGGTGAGAGTAGGACACAGTATTTCTTTACTCACCCTATTACTTTCTGTTACTCGGCTTCCTTTCAAAAGCGTCCTACTGAGGACTTTCTCAATGTTTTAAAACAAGCCTTATGAGGGCTGTATTGTATTTCACTCACCCACGATCCTCATGATTAGACTTTGTCTGTTTATAAGGATCCATTGTACCTCTGTTGCCTCTAACAGCGTTTAAAGTCAGACAGAGATTGAGAACACAATTTCATTTTCAATTAGATTTTCTAGCTGGACTGTTGGTGCTCAAAAAGACACTATAAATACTGTACCACATCATTGTGTCATATTGTTTGGCTATACTCCCTAAGTCTATTATTGATATCTAATGACTGAAGGAATGTTTTGTTGGTTTATTGTGGTGCTTGTGTGTAAATATTATAGTTCTTTTACTGACTGTTTGTCATCCACAATGATTTTGTGACGGCACAGGGGTTGGCTGGAGCGGGAGAGCAGGCATGGGCTACAGCCCAGTCAGAACTGGTTTCTGATCTCCATGCAGTGGTGGCAGCAGTGGAAAGACTATGTCAGATATGTGAGTAAGCATTATGTCTATGCAGCCTCTACATAACAATGAAAAGGGATCATATCATGATAAATCTAAATGTCTTTTTTCCTTTCCTTCTAAAAAAAAATAAAAGTACATTGTACTGTTTTGTACTATCTAAACAAACTCAGTCAATTATGAGTAAATTATGACCATTTTTCAAATTATAATTGGACAACAGGGAAAACAGTAAACTGATCTGACCCATTTATAGTACACATATCAGTCTAGACCTTGTTTCTCTCAGACATCAACCGGCCAAAAAGTACTGACAATATGGAGCTTACAGGTTTTTTTGATATACAATCTATTGTGTTAAACAGGATAATAAGTCGATTGTCGTAGAGCAGCCATCAATTCAGGGCAGTGGGATGAGAAGTTCTCAGTCTACAGCACCTATAGAGCCTGTCCTGAACAGAATTGGAATAGTTGTGCGTTCTCCCAGTTCCCCAGAGGAAAAATTTCCTGATAACATCTCCAGCTCATCAGAGGCCTCGGAGAGCACTGGTAATAGTAAGTACACACTCAGTCGTTGTTAAGAATATGGTTTAAGCTGTGGCCTAGCAGTTATCACATACATTACTTTTCAAAAGTTTTTTTTTTTTAATAAAAAAATACTTTTATTTAGTAGGAAATTGATCAAAAGTGACAGTAAATACATTTACATTGTTGCATAAGATTTACCTTTATTTATCAAATAATCCTGAAAAAAAAAACTATCACGTTTTCCACAAATATATTAAAGGTGCTGTGTGTTTTTTTGACTGTACTAAAGCATAAAAATACCATAATATGTTTGCAGATATTTAGGAAACATGCTAAGTTCACATACTTTTTTCTCAGAAAAACACTAGTTATACAGCCAGTTATTCTACTTTGGTAGTGGTCTAGTCCAATAAAAAGGCATGAAGGCTGAAAAGAAGTGTTCGGCCTCCATTACAGCATTTATTTACACTTCCTCAGGCCTGACTCCACACATCAGTTCTTCTGCCACAGACGTCTGCTTCGCTCGGCAGCACAACGTCTCTGACAACAACAACCAGTGTTTCTCCAGTGTCAATGGCCATTTGCCCAACAGCATGGTCACACAGAGGCCCGGTGCCATCGACAACCAGCCTCTGGTGACCACCGAACCCATGAAGGTGAGTGTACGTGTGCTCAGAACACCCACTGAAACCAGGAAGCCACTGCTAATCCTTTTGCCCATCAAAATAACTACCAAAGTGCATTGAATCAGCCTGTTGGGGAAGGTTTTTTTTCTTTTATTCCATCTAATCATAGTTTTGGAGAGCTCAAAAATACATTAAAATGCCATTTTTAAATTAAAATCACCTTGAACAATTTAATCCTGTGATAAATGGTCTGTAACATTTGTTTTCTAGAAAATGAAGCTAAAAGCATTTTGTATGAAACTGCTTGCTTCAGTAATGGCTTGTCACAAACACATTTGCAGTTATGTAATAATATAATGTCCAATATAATCAGACTCTTTCTTTACATAACACAATACATTGCAGCTGTAAAGTCAAAAAGGGACCTTTTTGGTCCTGTCCACCCCTTCATCCAACCTCCCATTCTCAGTCAACAAGAGAAGAGCTGGGTGAAGGACGCTTACACCACCTGTGATTTATTCACTGAAGGGCCCCACAATTTATCATTGCAAATCGCTGTCAATATGAACTCCCCTTGAGTGTGTGACTCCGTTTTGTCCAGGCACCCACGTTGACTATGGAGGGAGGGCGGCTGAAGAAGTCCCAACAGCTGTTGGCTAGCCGGGACTTTGAGACTGTGCCAGAGCCGGTATGGAGGGCACTTTATCACTGGTATGGGGCCAACGTCAGCCTCCCCCGACCGGTATGTATTCCATGTCCCACCATAGGCACTTAATTTGAGCTTCAATGAATGCTATTTGCTTTGGCTTTTTTGCTTTGACACACAATGATCTTGATGACGTAACATGAGGCGTCACATGAACTGTGTCAGATATTACTAAACCTGTTTCCTGAATACAGATTATGCTATGCTTTTAACCCTCTGTTGGACAGTGTTGCGTCTGGGTATCAGACTCATTTTCTTCACTTTACTAGCACATGATTCATATTAGATGACCTTAAAATGGTTAATAATGAAGAGATGTTGTCAAATAAACAGTAAAAAGGTTACATTCTGGAGGTTTTACATGATGAACTACCCTTTAAAAAAAAAATTTGATTCTTCCCCATAAAAAAAACATACTTCATATTTCTTATTTGTACAAAATAAAAAATTGCGTAATTTTTTTTTTTTATAAATATCTTTTTTCTCTCTTAATTTATATTGGTATATTGGTTATATTGGTAATTTATATTGGTTATTTTAGTAAAAAATTATAAACTAAATGTAATTACAAATATTATTTATTGATGTTGGCAGCATACCTTAAAAGGACCCCTCTCCAAGTATTCATTTTCAGAATTAAAAAAGTTTTTGATTTTGGTAATATCAATTTCATGTAAGAATAGTAAAGCAAACTTTTTTTGTCATGATGTATGCAGTAGGGGTTTAAAAATTTGACTGAGGAATGACCACGAAAAGAGCTTTAAAATGTCGCCTCAATCTAGCCTGTGAACTTCTTTTTTAAAACATTTTACATTCTTCTCTATACATTGTGCTTATCCTGTATCTTTTTTTCTTCCTTCAGGTCATCATGTCTACAGTCACAGTTCACCCAGAACTAGAGCTCTTCCCCCGCTACCTTCTGTTCCTGCGACAGCAACCGGCCACACGCAGCCCTCAGTCTAACATCTGGGTTAATATGGGTATGAGCAGCCTGCGAATGTTCCCTCCACATATGCCCCGAGGTAACGTAAGCCTGCAGCAAGAGAGAGGCTCCCTCCACCTCCGCCTTGACCAGTTTCTCTAATCTCCTAAAATGCACCCAGCTCGGTCTCAGCAAAAAGACCTGTCTGGATTACTAAAGAGCCAAATCCTGTTGCCAACACCCAGATTCATCTTCTGAGTTCGGCCTAGAATAGAAAATAATAATAAAGATCCAAAGAAAACATAAAATATATAAAATGACATTGGTTATATTAAATATTTTATATTTTTTGTTAAATGCTACATTTTGCTCACACAAAACTATAATGTAATCCATGACCATGACAGCTATAAAACCATGTTGAATAATTTTTTTTTTTTTTTATTGATCCAGATATTTAAGTTTTCGAGACTAGAAATATTGTATGTCACTCAGTCATGGCTGTCTGGCTCAGAAGACTGTTTGGTGTGGGTAAAGATGAGCGCTCTCTGGCTGATTTCCTGTAATTGTTTGCTTTGCAATCTTACCAATTTTTTATTTTATTTTTTTGTCTCAAAACAATTTTTGTCTTCTATGAAATCAATAATTGCTGTATGAATCTTATATGTATTTTATTTTTTCACAAGACTGGACTAATTAAAAATTGCCTTGATTTATTTTTTTATTTTTTTAATTCAAATCACCCAGACTAATGATTTGATGAATGTCCCCTTTGAAAATGACCTTTGCCCTTTCTTGCTGCTACCTTACAACTAATCCTCAGTCTGTCAATCAGGTATTGGTGCTGTGTATGTTATATATTGATCTGTGTGCTCCTTGTGACATCTGTGTTGATTTAATAGCATGCATGCTAGGGTATATGGATGGAATTGACTGGATCTTCTCGTTTTTCATCATTAAAATTAAACCATAAAATTATTACTTTACTAATTTAGCATAGTAAGTTAAATTACATTTACATACTCCATGATTTCTTTAATGTTCATTTTTGAATGAATATATATATATATATATATATATATATATATATATATATCAACACAGCTGGTGGAACCACGATAAAACGTTGTATTTAAAATGTGTAAATGTTTTTTTGCATGTGACAAAGAGAATGCTAAAAGGTGCTTCGTTCCCAAAACAGGAAATGTTCCTTCTCCGAATGCCCCTCTGAAGCGAGTGCTGGCATACACGGGATGTTTCAGCAGGATGGGCACCATTAAAGACATTCATGATTACCTGTCCCAGAGGTTACGCATAAAAGAAGAGGACATGCGCCTCTGGCTCTACAATAGTGAGGTGGGGACTAGAGACCTGCGCGGGACTGTTTTCTTAATCCCTGTTTCTGACCATTACCGCCCTCTCCCACAACGTGTGTGTTCCACTCCCAGCCGAACCCTCAAACATTCTGTTACCGCTTGCAGAAATTGTGAAAAAATTACACGAACATTAGGGCTATGCTAAACGTTCAGAATAACAGAGATTAAATTTTGCGTTTAATTAAGACGACCATAAGATAAAGTAATGCTAGCACGGTAGCGCCACAAATGACAAACACATTCGGTCAGCTTTTTATTAGCCTTATAAAACATCAACTGTTAAAACAAAACTTCATACAACTAGTGGAGCCTAAAAACATTTTAAATGTATCCGTAACTAACAACACGCACACCTAACCTTAACAGTTAAACTCTGGTAACCAAACAAGGCACAATATTTATCTGAATTACATATACAATAAATAAATATTAAACAAATTAAATATAAAACAAATTAAATAAAAAATAAAATGAATAGGAAATAAAAACCTCCCCGAAATAACAGGTGTTAATGTAGCCTAGCTAATTAACATGTAGCAAAAAGAAAATAAATAATACTGAAAACCATTAAACATACTTAACGAATTAATGAAATAATGAATCACTTGGCTTAGCTTGCTATGGAGGAAGAGAATGTTACTGATCGACTGCGGTGAACTTCATTTGTAGACTCCTTTCTTGTTACATGGGAAATCGCGGGTTCTGCGGGACCCCAATGCAGCCCTCTAGTGGGGACCTATTTAACATACTGAATAAAAGAACGTCAAACTCTGATCCGAGACATTCATATGCAAACCTGTCCTCATTATAAAAATACCTCACAGCAGTGAACTGAGGAAATGCTTCAATTTCCAAAGTCCTGTGTTCACATATTTCCTATTGAAGGCTTTATTTACATCACTGTGATTTGCTACATACTATTCAGTGCAGGGCCGTTTCCTCCGATAAGGCAAGGAAGCAGCGCTTCCTTAAAAAATTGGATGAGAAAATAATCTATATATAACAAAAATAAAGCCACACAAATATAACAAAATGTGAAAAGTGTATAAATCACTAGTTTTTCTAAAGTTACACTGTCCAACAGCGACAACAGCGGGAAAAAGTTACTTGCCTCCCTTGAGCCCATTGAGTTTTAACAGACCCCCTAATGCGTGTGTTGGGTTTGGTGGGGAGTAGTTGAGAATGAATGGGGGAAAGTCACATGAGAGGAGTTAATGCCTCTATCGTGCTATGATTGGATATGATTGGTTTGTGTGATAAATCACCCGCAAAAAAAGACACAACTTACTGTTGTGCGTGTTCTGCGTTCGCCATTCAGTCTGAATGAACAAAATGATGGCGTTAATGGGAAGACTAATTAAAAAGTGAGTAAACAACTCACCCACTTATCACCGCTTTGTCACGTCAAAATCAAACTTGACATGGCCTGAAAACATGATGACTGGGGTTTTTTTTTAGTGAGCAATCAGCTTGTTGAAATTAAAGGTACATCTTCGTGTCTGTGACCAGTCTTTATAGATCTTGATGACTCCGAAAATAAGTTGGCTATTAAAAAGAACAGTTGAACATCAGTTTACAAATAAATTACATTGTTTAAAATATTACTGCCTTTAGTTATTTGGAATAAATGTAAAAATGCATAAAAACACTAACTTGATGAGATTTATACTTGGTTTTAATAAATAGAGCTTTAATAACATTGTTAATGTAAAAATACAAAATTAAATTGTATTTGGTTTCTTTTTATTCCTTTTTTATGTTGTGCAGGATGAGCCCTCAATTTTTGCTCCATTTTCCTGTTAGAGAAGGACTGTCAATTTGAAATTGTAAAATGTTAATTCTACCATTTTTTATGTTTTTTTAAATAAGTCTCTTATGGTCACCAAGGCTGAATTAATATATTTCCCAAATAAATTAATATCATAATTCATGATACATACATTTATACTGTATACTAATCTTGTTTTATGTTGTCTTTTTATCAGAATTACCTCACTCTCCTGGACGATGAAGATCACACTTTAGAAAGTTTGAAAATTCAAGACGAACAGCACTTAGTCATTGAGGGTATGTCTGTGACATTTATCTATCTTAATTAAAGTGTTATCTCATTTCACATTTGCTGTGCAGTGTGGATTAAATTGCAAACCATGCGTGACTGTACTGATGGAAAAGGAAAAATTATTAAGATATCTTTCCTTTTCTCCAGTTCGAAACAAAGATATGAGCTGGCCAGAGGAAATGTCTTTCATTGCAAATAGCAGCAAAATCGACAGACACAAAGGTAATGTCAGAGTTCTTGGAAAGTGTTGGAAAAATCTATGCAAATTGGAGGCTGGCTAAACCATCTACAAATGCCAGAATGTTTATCTGAGTTTGACCTTACCTAGACCACTATAATACAATTCTTTAGACTGGTTTCTTGTATCAAAGCACATATCAAGTAGATTATTAACACAGGAACAAAAGCAGCAAGAGTCCAAGAAGCAATTACATAACAAAGCAATATAAAAGCCAAATCAAGACAGATATCAGCTTTGACATTTAAAGACTCACTGTTGCTGTCGAACTCAGTATGAAATACTGAGTAATTGAACTTCATGGAGATAGTACTCAAGTGGTTGTGCCTGTGAATTCAAAACCTTCAGTCTCTCTTAAAAAACTTTTAAATTCCAATAAAATATATATATAAAAAAAACTTTTAAACATTTTGTCCCATTTCTCTTGCAGTTCCTACTGAGAAAGGTGCCACAGGTTTGAGTAACCTGGGTAACACATGCTTCATGAACTCCAGCATTCAGTGTGTAAGCAATACCAAGCCCCTCACTGAGTACTTCATCTCAGGGCGACACCTTTATGAGCTTAACAGGTAAGAACACATGGCCAGTGCCTTTTTAAATACCAAAACCACTTGTAATTACTTAGTTAAGCATTTACTGTTGCTCTGAAAAATTTTGTGGGCGAAATCCATCCAATCATTTCAACAGGGATCCACATGAGTGTTAGTTTCACATGAGGGCGAAAAAGTGTGTTTGTGTTTGACTTGGTGACGCCATGTTGACCAGCAGAAAGTTGCTTGATTTAAAAGTGACTTCTGTGTGAGAAGTGCTTGATGCATCGACCATTAAGAATGGACAATGGAACTTTTTTGCCCACGAAATTCCAAAACGCCGCTACTTTCATGCAAGTTGGAAACTTTTGTCAAGTCACCTTTATTTATATAGCGCTTTTTACAATACAGATTGTATCAAAGCAGCTTCACAGTGATAACATGAAAATAATACAACAAAGTTTGTTTCTAAAAGAAAATTGCGTCAACGTCCACCTTAAGTAAGGCAGATCACTAATATTATTGAATATTAAATGTCCCCAACTAAGCAAGCCAAAAGCCAAGGCAACATGGGTCACAATCATACGTTTTGTATGGGTCACAATCATACTTCTTTACCAATGAGCTGTCTTGCCTTGACAGAACCAATCCAATAGGAATGCGTGGTCACATGGCCAAATGCTATGGTGATTTGGTACAGGAACTCTGGAGCGGCACCCAGAAGAACGTTGCACCTCTAAAACTCAGGGTGGGTTTTGAAATTCTCTGAAATTAAGAGCATCAAACCCAAATGTTAACGTAAAATATTCTTATGCCAATTTTTTTTTTAACATTTATGTAGTGGACAATAGCAAAGTATGCACCGAGATTCAATGGCTTCCAGCAGCAAGACTCCCAGGAGCTCTTGGCATTTCTCTTGGATGGGCTTCACGAAGACTTGAATCGCGTGCACGAGAAGCCGTACGTGGAGCTCAAGGATAGTGATGGACGCCCAGATCATGAAGTAGCCACAGAGGTTAGTGTCAAAACTCCTCTTTTTCAGGCTCAATACATTAGCTCAGTACTCTTAAATGAACCTATATAGGCACACTGATGAAAAGTCGTTTCTTCACCCTGAGGACATCTGCGTGTTTCTCTTTCACAGGCCTGGGAAAACCATTTGCGGAGAAATCGTTCAATTGTGGTGGACCTCTTCCATGGGCAGCTCAGGTCCCAGGTGAAGTGCAAGACCTGCGGCCACATCAGCGCCCGCTTCGACCCCTTTAACTTCCTATCACTGCCGCTGCCCATGGACAGCTACATGCACTTAGAAATCACAGGTAAAGCCAAGCAGAGAGAAAACATAAACACTTTAAAATTCATCAGCAGGTACTGCAGTCTCACATAAAAGCTTTTTTGATTTGCAGTTATCAAACTTGACGGCTCTACTCCGGTGCGTTACGGGCTCCGTCTCAACATGGATGAGAAGTACATGGGCCTGAAGAAACAGCTGAGCGAGCTGTGCAGCCTGAAACCTGAGCAGATCCTACTGGCTGAGGTTCATACATCCAACATCAAGGTCGGCTCAACTCGCCACATCAGACACTGTTGTTGAGACAATCCAAGTGGCCTGGCTTTTAAATAAATGCTTCTCTTTGATCTAGAACTTTCCTCAGGACAACCAGAAGGTGCGACACTCTGTGAACTGCTTCCTCTGTGCATTTGAAATCCCTGTGCCTGGCTCACCCACCTCAGTCACCTCTCCAGTGCAAACAGGTAATGAGGATTAATTTCTTCTTTCTCTTGGTCCTTAAAAGAGAAGTTTTGCTTTATCATGGACACCCTTATTTGCCATTGACCCATATTGTTATTATTAATAAAAATAAAAATAAAAAAAAATGTTTTTTTTTTTTTTTTTTTTTAGAAAAAACACCTACAGCCAACGGGACAGCAGGAAACAATCACATTGGAAAGTCTGGCCTAATTCCCAATGGCATGCCCAGCACAGTAGTCCCCTGTACCCCCGAGAAGCCCCTCGCCAATGGTATCCCTAATGGCCATGCTGTGCCGGTGCAAGACAGCCCCTTCATTGGCTACATCATTGCCATGCACAGAAAGATGGTGAGCATTCACTTCATATTCAATGTTGGTCGGAAAGGGTGTCCACCTCAAAAAAAAAAAAAAAAAAATAGTCATCAATTACTCATCTTAAAAACACAAATGAAGATATTGTAATGAAATCTGAGATATTTCTGTCCCTCCATTAACAGTCCATGGAACTACCACTTTGACTCTTCAAAAAAGTTCATAAAGGGAACGTAAAACTAATACATATGAATCGAGCAGCTTAATCCAAATTTTCTGAAGAGATACGATTGCTTCATATGGTGGCCAGATTTAATTTAGAACTTTTTTTAACATAAAAATTCATCAACACACACATCAGATATGGTAAATGTAAGCTCAAGCATGCTTGCTTGAAGTGCGAGAACCAATGAGGTTCATTCTCATGTGTCACGCAGCATGTTTGAGCTTCTGCAAGAACCACTGAGGTTTGGTTCACGCGTCGAGCAAGTATGGCTGAGCTTATGTTCGCTGATTTAATGTTTATATGTGAATAATTTTCATCATATTAAGTGATCCAGTCTCTTCAGAAAATTTGGTCTAAACTGCTGGATTCATGTGGATTAGTTTTACATTCTCTGTGAAATTTTTAAAGTATCAAAGTGGTAGTTGTCAAAGAAGGGACAGAAATCAGATTGAATAAAAAAATATTTTCATTTGTGTTTCGAAGATGAACGAAAGTCTTACGGGTTTGGAATGACATGAGGTTGAGTAATTGATGACATTTTTATTTTCATTTTTATTTTTGGGTGAACTAACCCTTTAAAGGACAATTCCGCGCGAAATTAACCTAGGGGTTAATAACACATGGGTACCGAGTCGACCGCTCTCTGTGATGTGTTTTCATGATAATCGAATGTACCCAGTTTTAGCTCGAACCACAGATTAGCTTATAACGCTAGTATATAGGGCATAGAGTAAGTAAAAATAAAATTCGCTAGTTAATACCACTAACAAGGCTCAAAATAGCCCCACACTAACACAGTTGCATAATGAGAGTCCCTGCCTGCAAACCGAAGCATTGAGATCTTTGTAAGTGTACAGACAGTTTAATAAGAAGATACTTTATAAAGACAGTACACTTCGCGTATACAGGCAGGAGCCGTCTTTGGAAAATGTCTTTGGTCGACTCGGTACCCATGTGTTATTAACCCCTAGGTTCATTTTGCGCCGGAATTGTCCTTTAACATGATGGTCATAAGCATCCTAAGTGTCCGGTCTTTCTCCTCAGATGCGGACGGAGCTGTACTTCCTGTCCTCTCAGAAGAACAGGCCCAGTCTGTTTGGCATGCCGCTTATTGTGCCATGCACTGTGCACACAAGTAAAAAGGACCTGTATGATGCCGTGTGGATCCAGGTGTCCCGACTTGCCAGCCCTCTGCCCCCACAGGAAGCCAGCAACCACGCTCAAGACTGGTCAGTGGCATCTCTAGCTCACAGCGTTTTGATGTTGATCATTAGTTTGGATGTTTGTTTGTTTTTTTGTCCGAAGTACACCATTCAAAGGTTCATCGAGATTTTTTTAATGTTTTTGGAAGAAGTCTCTAATGCTCACCAAGGCTGCATTTGATCAAAAATAAATAAATTTACATTATTCTAAAAACTGTAATATTATTAAATTATATTACATTTTATTATATTAATATATATTTTAAAATGCATTTTATTCAGGTGATGGCAAAGCTCAATTTTCAGCATCATTACTCCAGTATTCAGTGTCACATGATCCTTCAGAAATCATTTTAATATGCTGATTTGCTGCTCAAGAAACATTTCTTATTATTATCAATGTTGAAAACAGTTGTGCTGCTTTGTATTTTTGTGGAAACCGTGATTTATTTTTTTCTTCATGATTCTTTGACGAATAGAAAGTTCAAAAGAAATCTTTTGTAACAAATATCTTTACTTAATCAATTGAATGTGTTCTAGCTGAATGCAAATATTAATTTCTTTTAAATAAAATTGTACTTTACCAAAACTTTTGAACAATAATATACATTATAAATTATGATAATAAAATGTAGTAAAAGTTGTTGTTAGAGTGGGTTGCTTTTTTAGTGCAGTCATTTCTGTATCCTATTTCCCTAAGTGACAAATGTACTGTTAGCTTTTTGATACTTTATACAAGACCTAGTGAAATTTATTCGATTTTTCATTTTTCAGATTTAATGCAAATGATAGCATCATAATAACAATTGAATTTCACAGCTCCTTTAGTTCCTTATTTCAGTTCACATGGCCATTAGTGATCTAGAAAATAGTGCAGAATGTTAAATATTTTTTATTCCTTAACTTCTCTTTTTTAAATTTGTCAAAATCTTAAAATTTTATTCATTTCTAGGTTTCAATAAAAAAATTGTGGTTTTGGCCCCCTGTGCACATCTGTAAGGTAGTTCCTTTACTCTGTTATGTGACATGTCATGTTCTCTTCCAGTGATGACAGTATGGGCTACCAATACCCCTTCACTCTGCGGGTGGTGCAGAAAGATGGTAATTCCTGTGCCTGGTGTCCCTGGTACAGGTGAGGCATTTGAGTTCAGCGCTTGTGCATGCACATATCTCACACTGCGGGCTGTCGTGACTGACAAGGGTTGTCGTGACTTTGCCAGGTTCTGCAGAGGCTGCACGGTGGACTGTAATGAAGACAGAGCATCTTTGGGGAATGCCTACATTGCTGTAGACTGGGACCCCACCGCCCTGCACCTTCGCTACCAGACCTCACAGGAAAGAGTAAGTGCTTTACAGATGTTCACAGATTTTAAGCAGCATATTCAGTACTTCAGTCAGTGGGTTGTTGCTTTGTGACAGTCTTTCTATACTGCATCCAGTCTGATGCTGCACTGCAGGACATGATGTACACATAATGATTACTCTGCTAGTACTGTCATTCCCCGTGGTTTGCTTTCATCTCACATCACAGCTGAGAAATCCATTAAAATCATATTGTATGATTAATTGCTTTCTGGGTCTGTTGCCTCTATTTTACCTCTAGCAAGAGCTCCTGATATAAACTGCTAATTATTATCTATCATTTGCTACTTGCAAAAGACACTTTCTGATTGCATACTCTACTGCAGAGTCATAGTAAATACGTTGTTTAAAATTGGAGATGACAAAATAAAATCCCATGGTTTTTGCACCACTTTTATGGTGCATTACAGACCAGAACTGACCTTTTTATAACTTACGATGAGTCTGCAAATAATGTTTAATTGTGCATTAAAAAGAAATGCCTTCAAATGTAATTGCATTCTAGTTCTAAATCTTTTAAATAAGTCCAGAGCTCTTAGTGTTTTTGGGTAGTTATCATTTCATTCTGTTACTGTGTCTGTCAAGTAATTAGTTGCCGATGTTTATGTGGAGCAGATAGTGGAAGAGCATCCCAGTGTTGAGCAGAGTCGGCGTGCTCAGGCAGAGCCTATCAGTCTGGACAGCTGTTTGAAAGCCTTCACCAGTGAAGAAGAGTTAGGGGAGGATGAGCTCTATTACTGCTCCAAGTGTAAGACCCATCGCCTGGCCACCAAGAAGCTGGACCTCTGGAGGCTGCCCCCCGTACTGGTTAGAAACCCAAATGATTTGTTTCCTCCTCCTCTGAACAAATTAAATTAAATAAAAAATTATATTTATGCGTGTGTATATATAGTACTGGTCAAAAGTTTGGAAACATAAAAAAATAAATAAAGATGTTTTGGAAAGAAGTCTCTTCTGCTCATCAAGCCTGTATTTATTTAAACAAAAATACAGAAAAAACAGTAATGAAATATGATTACAATTTAAAATAATGGTTTTCTATGTTAATATACTTTAAAATATTAATTAATTCTGTGTCGCAAAGCTGAATTTTCATCAGCCGTAACTCGAGAATTCAGTGTCATGTCTGTCACATGATCCTTCAGAAATCAGTCTAATATGCTGATTTATTATCAATGTTGGAAACAGTTGTGCTGCTTAATATATTTTTTTAGAACCTGTGATAACCTTATTTGAGGATTCTTTGATGTATAAAAAGTTAAAAAAGGTCAGCATTTATTTAAAATAAAAATAGATATAGGAATAGATAAAATAGATACACTACCGTTCAAAGGTTTGGAGTCAGTAAAATAAAGAAATTCTTTCTTTTTAATACTTTTATTCTGTAAGGATGTGTCAAATTGATAAAAGCAGTTAGTGATAGTGATAGTAAAGATTTATATTGTTAGAAAAGTTTTTTTGAATAAAAAAAAAAAAATTATTTTGAATAAATGCTGTTCTTTTTAACTTTTTCAATGAATCCTGAAAATGTATTACATTTCCAAAAAATGTATGATGCAGCACTTCCAACAATGATAACTGAGTATCAAATCAGCATATTAGAATGATTTCTGAAGGATCATGTGACACTGAAGACTGGAGTAATGGCTGATTAAATTGTGGCCTTTTAGCTCATTTGATCTGATAAAATATAATACATTTTTTTCTCATTTTTGTTTAATAAAATCTTTAAAAATATATATTTATTTATTTATGTTTATTATTACGGTATATAGTTTTAGATCTTTTGAGCTAAATAGGCGACATTTAACATACTGTATAACATAAATGTAATTTTAATAACATTTGGTTACAACATATATTTTTTTCTATGTCCTTTTTCAGATTGTTCATTTGAAACGCTTCCAGTTTGTCAATGGTCGGTGGATTAAGTCTCAGAAGATTGTGAAGTTTCCACGCGAGAGCTTTGACCCCAGTGCGTTCCTGACCCCACGGGAGGTAGCTCAGAGCATGGGCAGCTTGCAGAGCCTCCAAAGCGAATGCCTGGTAGAGGAGCTCCAGAGGCTGGAGAGAGGAGACTCCTCTGTGTCCTCCATCTCCACTACTACTGTGGCCAGTCCTCCCACCTCTGGCAGAGGTCTGTCTCTCTTCTCTATTAGCAGACCTTTTAAATGAACACTAGTTGAGATTCTCTAACCACTGCGTTGTTGTCTTAGGCACCCCATGCTCTATCAGGAGGGTGTGCAGCCCATTGAGCAGAAACAGCAGCCCTGGCAGCAGCCCCAAAAATACAGGACGGAAACAGGGGCGTCTGCGTCTTCCACAGCTGGGCAGTAGGCATCGACTCTGCAACAGTAAAGAAAACCTGGATGCCTGTAGCAATAGCAAGGAGAGCGAGACCGAGTCAGAGCAGGGCACAGTGACGGACGGGGAGAATCAGATGCCATCTGATTCAAATGGGCAAGACACCTGGTCACTGGACGCCTCAAGCAGCGACTGCGATGTCATCATGGTGAATGGACTGGTACAAGACAGCAGTCAGAGTAATGGACACACAGAGGTCAGCACAGACCTGGACACCCCTCACCAAAGAAATGACATCTGCCTGGAGCCCCTGTACAATTTATATGCAATCTCAGTAAGTGATTCTTCTCTACATGTTTCAATGTGTAATGATTCCTTTTGTAAAAAGCCTTTCTGACACCTTAATTGTTGTTTTTCTTTTAAGTGCCATTCAGGAATAATGGGAGGGGGTCACTATGTGACTTATGCTAAAAACCCCAATGAAAAATGGTACTGTTACAATGACAGCAGCTGCAAGGTAAGATCCCAACTCTGTTTATTCTTTGACATCTCATGGGTTTCTATTATTTTGACACACTTTTTTTATAAATAGTTTTATTTTCAGTTATGATACATGAAACAAAACATATATACATAACATTACAATTGACATTTTTCTTTTACAAAATCAGACTACATAACACAACCCCCCCCCCTGAATTGCAAAAACATGCAATTTAGACCTCACTTATTTGGCTCTACTAATCATATAAAATGTAAGGAATGTGATTGCAATTCATTTGCAATAAGAGAAGGTAAATGCTCCAAAAAAGATCCCCAAATTTTTCCAAAAGTTTTCGGTGATTTCCTAACATTGAAAAGGATTTTCTCAGGGGTGCAATATGAAATGAGTTCATTGATCCATTGTTTTCTTGATGGAGAGTGAGTCGACTTCCAGTTCACTAATATACATTTTTTCCTCCGCAGTTCCTGCCAATAGTGTGAAATACTTTTTATGATGAGAGGAATTTAATAAATCAGTATCCCCAAATATCCAAATTCTAGGATCATTACTAATTGGGATACCTATAACCTTTGAATATATATCAATTATATATTCCCAAAAGTCATTCAAAATAGGACAATTCCAAAGCATATGGAGTAAATCGCCTTCAGACCTTTTACACCTTCAACATTTTGCAGATATGTCAGTATTTAACATGTGAAGTTTCTGAAGAGTATAATATGTTCGATGCAGAATATTAAATTGGATTTGTCTATGTTTGGTAGATATTAAAATAGTCTGCATTCTTTCCATAACACATTCCCACTCCACCAGATCATATGCACAGTCAAGATCTCTTTCCCACCTCTGCTTCAAGATTACGTTGTCAAATGGTTTAAAGTTATTTGTTAATGTGCTGTATCCTACAGAAGCAATACCTTTTGGGGAGGACACAATCTTGTTAAACATAATTATTTGACACTCTTACTGCACAGAGTATATATTTCTGCACGGATGGAAAATTCTTGGACAACGAAGTGTAGATGTCAAAAGTACCGGTACTTTTGATACTAAAATAAACAAATTGGGCGCTACAGCCTGAAATATCTGTCATAGCAATTACCAACTGAATTTGACTGAAATTAGCAATCACATTGACTGGCAGGTGCTTTCAAAAGCTCAACATTGTTTGAATTGAATTAACTGGAATTAATTGAAATGTTATTGTAAGGTTTTTTTAAAAATTTTATTGAAATGAAAATAGTGTGTTCAGTATAACTACTGTGGTATCAGCATGGAAATTTACATTCCTGAAATTTCCCTTGCATTGGTGTCGACTACTGAAAGTTTGATAATGTCTGGTTTCGTGACTAAAACACTAAAACAAGAATTGTGCCATACTTAAAACAAACCGTTTCTTGTCGTCTATTCAGGAAGTTCACTCGGACGAGATTGACACAGATTCAGCTTACATCCTGTTCTATGAGCAACAGGGAGTGGACTACTCGCAGTTTCTGCCAAAAACAGAGGGCAAAAAGATGGCAGACACCACTAGCATGGACGAAGACTTTGAATCTGACTACAAGAAGTACTGTGTGCTGCAGTGATGCCATGCTCTTCCACATTAAAGACACTAGGGGGGTCTGTCAGTACGCCAGTGCAATGAGGACTGAAACGGCAGAGCCAGAGGACCATCATTTGTGAAAGCTCAAAATATCAGTTAGCCGACAGGCACAACACCGCCGCCGACTGTGCTTTCAGAATAGAGGTACCTGACACTTCAGATACACGAGGGAGAGGGCGAATGAGTGAATCACAGAGAACTGTAGCGATCATGTGATTGTTGCCAAGCAAACAAATAACTGTTAGCCAATCCCTTGATATCACCATTACCAAACAGACAAAACTGCTCTTTCACACAGGTGAATCCAAAAATCACATAACAAGAGCTTGTGCTTCTGTAGTGCTACATTTCTGAATGCTAATGGACACAACAGATTCTTTTAATTCGGAAACTGATTGTGTTGGTATAAATTGTAGAACCCTAAAAAGTTTCTCTAAAGGTTTGGTTGGCTTAGTTTTGTCATAGTTGATTTCTTTTTTTTTCTACAGTAAATTCCATACACTACCTCACATCTTTTGGCCAACTGTTCATAGAAAATCAGTGTGACAGTATTATATCATCTGAGGGCAGTTTAAATTATTTTATGGACAAAATTCACTTCCAAAAAAAGTTCATTTTAAAGACAATTTCTGCCATTTAATAGAATATCCTCCTACTCCCTGCTGCCAAATTATACATATGCTATTTTTGTTTTTTAAGTTTTAAATCTTATTTAAGTGGGTTATTTTGAGACTTCGTTTTTTTTTAGAAGAGTAAATGTATATCTTCTTTTTTTATTTTTTTATAAATTTATTTTTATCAATGTGAATTATTATTTTTATTTTTTTTAATGCAGTAGTTCACTTTGCCTAAACAACTTTGCGTACAGCTTTAGTCTTAGCAGTCTGATCAAACCACGTCCTCTCAACAATACCGCTGCTTTGTACACGTTTTCCTGTTACTACTGTTTTTTTGCTTTACAAAAAACTGTTGACACCGGAGATAGCAAAACAGATACATATCTGATTAATGTTTTCTCATGTGTCCAAGCCAAAGTGTTCTGCTGGTCATGTACGTAATCTGTGGGAAGCATTGAATACTGTTAGACAAGAGCAAATAAGGTCTGTTGTGTGAAAAGTATTAGCACAGAAGAATATTTCACAACCCATGCTTTTAGAGAACAGCATCCTCACTAAACTGCTGAATGTTGTGGACGTCTGTGTCGGAGGGTATTCCAGGTTATTAGTAGCATTTCTTTAGTGACTCTTGAAAAGAGAGCCCAACTTAATTACCACTGTGAAATGATGTATGAAATACTGAATGGCTCTTATTTTTCAGCAACTCATCAATTGAATGAGCTCCTCCTGCGAGGGGACGTTAAACCCTTGGAAATCATCGGGATTCATTCGCCCGCACCCATTTTGCTGCTGTACTTTTCAGATTTCCATGGATATTCTAAATGTTAGCCATCAAAGAAAGGTTTATCCCTGTCGGAAAAAGACATTTATGTGAAATAAACACAGGTGTGTTACTGTAAGGAAATGATTCATCATCATAATCCCCAATGCAAATATGATAAATGGACTGTAAACAGTTTTTAGGTATTTTAATGTTGGGAGAAAAATAGATATCCAACATCCAAAATCAAATGATATCACTCTTAAATTAAAATTGGCTGTTTGATGTATTACAATTACAGTAACCACAAACATGCTTTAAGCATTCACTTTTTTTTTTTATACAGGGATAATTTATTAAAATGGCAAAATGATCTCTTTTCAAGTAGTGCAATCAACTACTGATATGTGTCTTTGTCTATGTCGTTAGTCCTAATTTTGTTAAATTAATTTTGATGAACTGCTAGAGATGTATTAATTTAATGAACTTTATTTTGTAAAGTGTTGTTTAAAGAATAAAATTGACATTGCACTGACAAATGTACATAAATGTTTTGTAAATACGCCAATGAAAATGAACTGTACAAATGTACTTGTAGTTGTATATGGAGTGATGTTGATCTGTAACAATTATTCAAGAAAGAAATTAAATGCAGCCAAATGCGAGCTTTTCTCTTCTGTGATTAATGTGAGGTGTTTCCTTCAACAGCAAAGAGGAAACCACACATCTCGCTCTATGGCGTCCAGTGCCATCAATCAGACATACTTCCTTGAATTCAAGCCACATTTGACATTTAAACTAACCTTTTATAGGACCCTTCCACTCAGAGTATTTTCCTCTAGAATATTTCCCTTGAATGAAATATACAAATTAAGTTAATGAGAATCACCTCAAGACGTTTGAGCACTTTGTGGGTTGGAGACAAACTGTAGTCAGGAAGTGAGTCGATCTGCATACTGTTCTACTTATAGAACTTGCTCTAAACCACAAGTGCTGAAGAATTGTGGCTTATTGTTCTGAACAGCACCTTCAACTCAGTGGTCTTCATGCATGCTCATATCATGCAGAAGAAAGTTAGACAATGGTGTGCATTGCATAATGAGTTCATCCTGGGGACCTGCATTCTGTTGTCTTTTCTTCAAGGAGACAAAACCTCTTTTACACATTTGCTTTTCAGGTCTTGCATTTGAACATAGAAGGAGACGTCGCCTGGTTAACATTTAAGGTATATGGCGGATAATATGTTCAAACATTAGTTTAAATGAAATTTAAAAGGGCTGTGAAACATGAAATGATCATTTTTGTCTTGTCTTTTTTCTCTTTTAGCTCTGAAATATCTATCAGATGATTTTAAAAAGCATATGATGCCTTAGACTTCATTATGGCAACTGACAATTCATCCGATACGAAGTCAAAAAACTGGAGTAAGTATATATGTGTATGTATATACAGTAGTCAACATTTGAAGTGGATCAAAAGAAATTCATCAAAGTTGTCCTAAGACAAGAACGGGTAAGAAAGAGAAAAAGAATGAAGCATTTATATAGCGCTTTCATATGTGCTACTGTACACCCAAAGCGCTTTACAATCATTGTATTGTTCAAAATTCATGTATAACTTTGATGAAAGGTTGTGATCCACTTCAAATGTTGACTATTATATATATAATTATAAACTACATTATATAATTTTCTCCATAACTTTTATCGAAAGAGGTGAAAAATATTGGTGACATGCTTCTAAATTTTTCATTTTTAAATAAAACCAAAATGAATTATACTAAAAGTATAGCTGTATGTTGCATGTGTCTATATGAAAACAGTGGATTATTTCTCTTTGATTTGGTTTTTCTCTTTTTACAGACCTTGATGTTGGACACATCGTTCTAATCTGCATGTATGCTGTTACCGTTTTCTTCATGATAACACTTGGATGCCTTTGCCTAAACAAGTATATTTTAACAGTTTTTTAAATCAATGGACCCTTATATGGACTTTATTTAAACTTTATCTAATAATAATTGTCAATATTTATTTAAATATTATATTATTCAATTCTACTGTAATATACACTACCGTTCAAAAGTTTGGGGTCGGTACGATTTTAAATACTTTAAAAAGAATTCTCTTCTGCTAACCATGGCTGCGCTTATTTGATTAAAAATACAACAAAAATCAGTTATAGTATTAAATATTATTCCAGTGTAAATCAGCTGTTTTCTGTGTGAATATATAGTAAAGTGTCATTTATTCCTGTGATCAAAGCTGAATTTTCAGCATCACCAGTGTCAGTGTCTTCAGTGTCAAATGATCCTTCACAAATCAGTATAATATGAGGATTTGATGCTCAAGAAACATTTATTATTATCAATGTTGAAACAGTTGTTGGTCTGTCAGTAGTACAGTTTTTTTTTTTTTTTTGGATTCTTTGATGAATAGGAAGTTCAAAAGAACAGCATTTGTTTGAAATAGAATCTTTTGTAACATTATAAATGTATTTACTGTCCTTGATAAATAAAAGTATTGATTTCTTTCCTCCAAAAAATAAAAATAAAATTCTCACTGACCCCAAACTTTTGAACGGTAGTGTATATTATAAATATATATATACTTTTCAACAATTTTCCACTTTCAATATACAGGTGAAACTCAAAAAAGTTCATTTATTTCAGTAATTCAACTTAAAAGGTGAAACTAATATATTATATAGACTCATTACATGCAAAGTGAGATATTTCAAGCCTTTATTTGTTATAATTTTGATGATTATGGCTTACAGCTATATGAAAACCTTTTCACAATATTCTAATTTTGAATTTGGGGTTTCATAAGCTGTAAGCCATAATCATCAAAATTATAACAAATAAAGGTTTGAAATATCTCACTTTACTTGTAATGAGTCTATATGTTGAATTACTGAAATAAATGAACTTTTGCACGATATTCAAATTTTTTGAGTTTCACCTGTACAATTTTTTTAAATAAATATTGCAGTTATATATTTATGAAAGAAAATGTATCATTTTTATTTATATGTATCGAGCTTTGAAAGCTCTGTTTGTTTCTCTTATTAGGTATCGGTCAATGAAGAAGGTCATACGGGATTTGAGGCAGGGACGGTCGGCCCCCCGAGTTCCTTCCCAAGATTCTCCTCCTCCATCTCCCGATGTCCTGAATCTTCCTGAAATACCAGAACGTACTACAGAGAACCCATTACAGAGACAACAAACTAAATCCAGCTGCAGATTTCCCTGGAAGCCTCCACTACAGGTTCACTACATTTTTATTTTGAAATGTGATTTGACTGACTTGTATAGTGTTCAAACAATGTAACATGAAGAATTGATCTTCAGGTTCCCCGGTTCACAAAAGCAGACCTGAACCTTATTCAGCTCATAAAGGCGGGTAGAGAAGGAGTCTTCTACAAAGGAAGGATGATAAGGGGCACTTGTAGAGGACACTCACTGGTCACTTGCAAAATTGGAAAAGACGGTAAAACTATATGCAAACACATTTCTGTTGATTTAAATGCATTTTGTGTGAATATCTTAACAATTATCCAGCAGATGTTTAGATTTGCTGTCATTTGCAGTTATCACCCCTAAGCAGATGGAAAACGAGGTGTCTATTATGAGAAAGCTGGCATATCATAAAAATGTGATGCAGCTGTTAGACTGGAATACAGTGGAGGGTAAGTCATGCTGCTATACTTTAGTACTGTATGTCTAAACCTTTAATGCAGCTAAACAGTCAAATATAGACTAGATCTCGCCTGAGCAAAACTTGCCGACATAGTCTTAGGGTGTTAATGGTTGACGAGTGTTGCTCAAGTGTTTTTTTTATGTTGCCTTGTGGTTGTTCTAGGTGGTCTATATGATAGTCTCGTCTCAAAATATGTGTGTTTCAAGCCCCTCCTGTAATGTTTTTTTTCTTCTGTTTGATTGTCCACCGGGTAAAAATTGTAAGCTTCCTCGATTAGAAAGTAACAGCATTTTTCGCATGATTTGATCATCATCAATCGTTGCAGGATGAGTGTAATACCTAGAATAATATGTTTGTTCAAATCCTGTTCCACAATAATCTTAACAAATATCACTAAATATACAGTAGAATATAGAGATATTAATTTGTTATAGCAATATCCGTTAATGAATCCACTTGCAATATAACAAACATCCCCTCTCCACTTCTATTATTAATTTATCATTCAAGAAAACTTGTCAAGCTTGTACTAAAATAATGTATCATGTGACCAAAACTGTCTGTTTTCACAGAGCCGTATATGCTGATCATGGAGTTCATAAGCTACGGGACCTTGCGCAGTTTTGTGCAGAAACACAAAGACGAACTGAGCGCCGAACCTGAACTGCAGAGCCAGTTCACCATAGCGTCTTACCACATCGCCCTGGCCATGGAGCACTTGCGCTCCAAAATGGTATTACAAGCTGGCACAAACATAATACAGCTCTTCTGATATAGACCTTATGCAAGAGAGAAACAAGGCATTAGGGGGGTAACAATATATCGTGTCACAATATGTATTGCATGCACTCCCACAATGAAAATTAGTGTGTGAGAATCTTTTTTTTAGTTTCAGTTTCAGTACTACATTAAACTACTATATATAATGTAAAGTAATGCAGTGGGGGAATATTTGTGGGTCCTGATAATGCCAAAAATCTTATGTTACCAGTAAAAATTGACCTACATTATTTTAAATATATCTAGTCAGTGAAAAAGTGCAAGCATATTCATCTAAAATAATTCTGTAGTTTCAGCTTCAGAATCAGGAATATTTTTATTCTGGTGTCACCATTGTCCTGTGCATTGGGTTTCCAGCACCAAGTCCAAGCCTATTCATTTCCACCCACAATGTAATACCACATTTTTAATCAACAGTACATTTTTTGTTAACCTTTTACCATATGTCTTGGAGTATCGCAATAATATCGTATTGTGTGTCTAGTTTCGTGATATGTATCGAATCGTGACATGAGCGTATCGTTACACCCCTACAAGCCATCTTTCGAATTTTGTGTTTAAACTCCTGTTTTTGCGGTAGCTCTGTGTATTTCTATGGCATATCGCTGTCAACGAGTAATTAGCTGGTGAAGTGGATTTACTTATTGTAGAGTTAACAAAAATAAAATGAGCAGTGTAATGTTTGTAGTGGATGTCAGATGTCAGTAAAATGAGCAGTTCATTCATAAATCCGTAAGATCTTACCTTCGTGATGTGGAAATACAAACCAAAAGACAGAACGCAACGAGCGCAGCGCTGAAAATGGGCTGGGCTACATGAGGTCTATACATGAATGGAAAAATGGAAAAGAATGATTTTGGACGTTTTCTGTGTACCATTCAGGTGGTGCACTGTGACCTTGCCTTAAGGAACATTTTGGTGAGCCGATTCCCATGGGAGGTGAAGGTAGCAGAGTTTGGCCTGGCCAGGGACTTGACCCGCATGAGGAGCAGACGCAGCAGCAGGAAAAAACAACACAAGGTGAACTAATCGCACCTGTTCTTCCCACATCTTCATTGACAATCTGGCTAATATTAATGTGACCTCATAGGAACGCGTGCCCCTGCGCTGGTACCCTCCAGAGTACTTCCGGAACAACTACTACAGCTTTAAGGGAGATGTCTGGGCGTTTGGGATCGTGCTGTGGGAAATGCAGTCATTTGGTGAGAAATATCTGAGATATTCGGTTGATTTATCAAATATTTTTGATGAATAAATCACAAATATTGTATTTTGTATTTTTATAGGCACCTTGCCATATCCAAATCTGAACACATCTGAGCAAGTGGTGTATAGTGTCTGTGCTGGATATAAAAACACTGTCCCCAGTTCCTGCCGTCCAGAAATGTGAGTGACCATATAAAATATATTATTATATATCATATATATATATATATATATATATATATATATATTTTTTTTTTTTTTTGTCATCGTAAAAACTTACTGACCTACTGTTATGTATGGAAGCTTGTTTCAAGCACAGAATAAAAAATTAAAAAGGTAATTTCAACTTTTTATCTCACAATTTTTTCCTTGCAATTGCATACAAAATTGCGAGATATTTACAAAAAGTTGCAATTGCGAGGAAACAGTTTATATCTTGTAATCCTGACTTTAATTTTGCAATTGCAAGTTTATATCTTGGAATTATAAACTCGCAATTGCGATAAAACGTTGCAATCACCTTTTTTTTTTTTTTAGTCCGTTGCGGAAACAAGGTTCTGTAGTAATGGCCTAGTAATGGTTTCCAGTAATAAATATCTATTTGAACATGTAGGGAACAGATCATGCTAGACTGCTGGTTGGATCCATACACATCGAGACCTTCATTTACAGACATTGTCAGGATCCTGGAGAATATTGTGGAGAGTGATGGGGTGAGTCATATTTGTCCTTGAGCCACTCTTTACTCTTTACCTTTATACTAGAGATAAGTGATAAAACATTACTGATATCTTGCAGGATTATGTGGACGTTGACAACCAAAGGATCATGAATGCAGAAGAAAAGTGAATTAAAAAAAATATAAATCGTTGTTGTACACATCAAATAACTTTTTTAATACTACAATAATTTTGTAGCAATTATTTTGTCATTGTTCTCATGTAACACCTACTTAATTGTGTGCAGGCATACTTTTTTTTTTTAACAATGTTTGTATTTAAGGATTTAATTCTGTGTATGTATGCTCTCTGATCTATAATAGACACCGGTATGTGACATTACACAACTCTAATGACCAAATCACAGTATTCTTGCTATATTTCCATGGATAATTTTGAAAACAACAACTAAAAAAAGTCTGTGTTTGTTGTCATGAACATGCTTTCTTAACACAATAATTTAATAAAATAAGTTTAACAATTTAACAGTCTTGAAATGTTTAATGATGGTGAGTGCTTCCTTAAAAAAAAAGCAATTTCCATGGCAATTTGTGATTACAATGGTGGCTAATGCTTAGTTATGACAGTTTAATTTCAGTAACAATAAAATAAGCATCTATTTTATCATAAAACTAGTTGCTATGGTCATTTTTGTAAGGATTGTGTTCCACGGTTACGCTCCATGAGCCAATGTGCAATCAGGAATCCGCCCACTTCAGGAATCAACCGAGCCGATGGACCAATGGAAAGACAAAGATTAGAAGTGACCGAGTTAAAGGACCAATAAGAAACAGAGGAGTAACACGCTACTTTATAATTGACCACTGACGGCGTCCACGGCTGCTGAACCACAGACGGAGAAGGAACTTGTCAAAAACTGTTAAAGCACTAGACAATTAAAATGTTACTTCGCGCTTTAGAAATTATATATTTCATTTACTTTGCGTCGCACATTCCAATTACCCTCATGGTTGATCTTCAGGCTTTACTTCCCGAACATCTGTATCCACCTGAGGTAAGTTTGCACTTTGTGCTGGACACACTGTTGTATTTGTCACCATATAATATCCTAAGTTTAGCGGTTTTGTATGTAATTATTACTCGCGAAATAAATATTATTATTTGTGTTACAGCTGAAAAACGTATTGCACTGGTATGCTGCTGAATTCAAGGATCCGATGATGATGGACCCTCCTGCCTGGTTCAAATCTTTTGTATTCTGCGAAGCTCTCGTGCAGCTGCCCTTTTTCCCAGTTGCAGCATACGCCTTCCTGAAGGGTCAGTAGTACCTCGATCATTTGTGCCAGTGAATGATTTGTGGAATCACAATCTTAAATGACACAACAATGACATCTAGTGGAGAATCACTTGTCAATGCATACCAGTCACTATGGTCACATTACTCCCGTTAATTGATGTTTTCCATTTAATAGGTGGCTGCAAATGGATCAGAACTCCAGCAATCATTTACTCCGTTCATGTGGCCACAACTCTAGTCCCAATTTTAAGCCACGTGCTTTTCCATAACTTTCCTCTGGCGCCACATCCAGGACCCCAAACTTTGAACGAACGCCTGACACTGGTGTCAATTTATGCTCCGTACCTCATCATCCCCGTCATGATACTGCTCACCATGCTCTTCAGTTCAACATATAACTCAACCTCTCCGAAAGGAAACACTTCCTCAAAGTCCAAGAAACAAAGATAATGCCAGTTCATCCCATCTACACATTATAGATGGATGCATTCATTATAACCCACCAGGGTTCCAATGTTATTACTGGTTAAATGTGATTAAATATTTGAATATGTACCAGCATATTTGATTATTGTATGTAATTTTTAAGCAAAAATGTATTTTAGCTATTTTTGACCCCATTGTAATTTACAGTTTCGTTTACTGATGACAACACATGTAAAAGCAAAATATATTTTTATTTAAATGTTCTTCAAATCTGTATGAAGTTAATTAAATATTGAGATTACACACCTAATAACGGTTAATGTAAACAAATTTCATATTAAATAGCTTTCCATAACTTCTATGGAAAATATTTTGGTGTGGTCCCATGAACAGACAATACAATTGCCATGAGGATATGATAAAATAAAACTGGATGGGTTCAAGTTACAAACAGCAGTTAAAATAAAAATCATACAGAAAATAAACATTTTACCTGAAGATTATTACTTACATGATGGAATTATTTACAGTAACATGCAAATACTGTATTTTGCTGTTGTACAAAAAGAATGATTTACAAACGAATTTCCATATAAATAGTATAAATAAATTATATTGTATATAAATAGTATCTGAGATTATAAACTATAGTTGGAAAGTTTACAAGTATGCCCCCTGGACCTGGTCATGCAAAAGCACTCAATGTTAACACAATAGAGTCAGAGGTTGAGGCTGAAACAGACAGGTTGATGTCTGTTGTCACCTATAAACTGCTCAATTCAATTAACCTACTTTGGGACCCTGTACTTTATAGGAGTCATTGTGAGTCAAGATGCATAGCATCACTTTTTTTCTGTCCAACAGAGAGAGAAAACACAGCACTCTTATTTCTGCAGTATAAACTGATCAATGAATTCATTCTGCTCTGCTTCGACTTTCTGAAGAGCTTCGTATTCTATTCGGTACCTGCAAAACAAACAATTATAGTCTCACATATAGTGGAAAAATACAGAGCAGCACAAATATATCATTGATCAGCCTACTAATAATACTGGACTATTGGCCAACTAATAAGACCGATTACCTTTCCAACTGCATTTTCTTTTCTGCAATCAAAGCCTGAAGCTGTTGCTGTTGGGCCTCTCGTTGCTTTTCAACCGATTTCAGCAAATTTCTTGCACCTATGGCCTGTAGAATAAACACTGAAGTCATATAAATGAACATAACAAATCTGCACTGCAGGTTATTTAAAATGCAAGAATGTACCTTCATTTTTTCAGTTTCGGCCTCCTTTGCCAGTTCATCCACAAGTTCAATAAGTCCACCTACAATTTTCTGAAACTGTCCGATCTCTGTTTTCAAAAACATAAATTATTGATCTGTACAGTCAAAAGAAGCAACGAAATGCTGTTTAGTCAACACGAGAGATAAAGTAAACTCAATAAGATAAAGAACATAATTTAAAAGAAAAAACTCACTGTCAACAAAGTCCTCACATTCCTCTTTGAGCTCAGTGGTTTTCTGACTCACGTCGGGCTCGAGTACTCGCAATTTGTTGAGTTCATCAAAATGAAGACCAGCCTCTGCCAACGGGTCTTTAGCCATGACCAGAGGATCTAAAACCTGCCCGTGTGACTCGGTAATAGCTGGAAATCACACAGAAATACATAAACAAGAGTATTTTAAAAGAAATAGCACGAGCATCATTTTATTCCGTTCATAATGTGAACCCAGTAGTGGCGAAAACAAAAACAATATTGATTTCCCAGCACACAGTGCCCTGCACTGTCACCAGATCACAATAAGCTAGCTAACCGCTTAGCTAAGTTAGTTAGCTGGTTAATTTGAACTACCACTGCCGTTACATTAACGTTACATAAAACATGTAAACTTAGTTTAAATACACAGATGAGGAAGAAATAATACTGCTCACACAAGTTTCGCTTTGTTGTTGGTATGGTCTGGTTGCTATTGAGATAACGTTAGATAAACAAACACAGACCAGATGGGAACTAGCTTGGACATATTGGTGTTGTTTTTATAGTTAGTCGCTCAAATCATTAAACGGAATTACACACTTGCATAAAGTTAAATAAACCAGGGAATTTCTCAAACGTACCTGACCTTTAACCGATTATGTGGCACTTCTGCCGGGCTGACCGACCGACCGCCTCCTCGCATCTGTCTGGCTGTCTCGGCTGCCAGGCGACGGCTGGTCCAATTCATGATGAGTGAGAGGGGTGCACAAAAGCATTTTTAATATTTATGTTTAACACCTTGCATTTCTGAAAATAAAATAAAGCATGGGTCTATATCATAAAAATGTATAAATATTGTTGTTGTTGTAATTATGAGAGATTACAGTACAAGTGTGTTTGTGCCTAACTTTTCACACCATGACCCCCCTCCTAATATTGAAAACGTCCGTATATCAACTATTCCTGCAGTTCCGCATCAGACCACTGCGGTGCGTGCGAGGGATCGAATGAACAACTAAACTCAAAACACCAGAAGAAGACTGAGCAGCGGCCACTTAAGGGCGCCAAACTCTAAAAAAGAGATGTAAATCTTTATATTTCATATCTATACTCGGTAGGTTAAATATATATAACATTTACTGTTTATGTTTAAGGTTAGTTTTTCCCCAGAGATTGACAGCTTGATCATATATGTAGGTATACAATTTAGTGTAATGTCTCTGTTTTCGTATCACCATAATTTGTAAACAGCTCGTATAAGTTAGTTAATTAGTTAGTTAGATGTTTTAAATGTCATTACAGATGCTGACAACGCAGAAACATGCCTCTGTCAACTCAGTCCCAAGCGGACATTGACCAGTACATTCTGATAGCAAGTTTGGATAACGCAAGGAATCTGTCCAACATCCTGAAAGCCATCTCTTTCAAAGACCATGCTATCTTCAATGCAACGCAGAATGGGTTAAAAGTCACTGTAGAGGACTCCAAATGCCTCCAAGCTAATGCCTTCATTCAGGTTGGTGTTGGAGGACCGTTTCTGACAGGTTCAGTTGTCAGCAGTTGGGTTGAACAGTGTATTTGTGTGTCTGTTTCCTCAGGCTGACATCTTTCAAGAATACACTATCAAAGAGGATGCAGTTGGCTTTCAGGTTAACTTAACTGTTCTTCTGGATTGCCTAACCATCTTTGGGGCGAGCACAACCCCAGGTGTGTATCTTAATGGTGATCCGGTCTTTCTTTTATAAAATGTATTTAACTAATTTCTCTTTTATTGTACCATTGAGGTGTGTGCACTGCCCTGAGAATGTGCTACAATGGCTATGGATATCCGCTGACTTTATTCCTGGAGGAAGGTGGTGTGGTCACCGTCTGCAAGATTAATACACAGGAGCCTGAAGAGCCCATAGACTTTGACTTTTGCAGCACAAATGTGACCAACAAGGTGATTCTGCAGTCCGACAGTCTTAAAGAGGCTTTCTCTGAGCTTGACATGACCAGTGAAGTTCTGCAGATTACTATGTCACCAAGCCATCCTTACTTCAGGTACTGTAATCGTGCACACAACAGATCAGTGTGCCTACACTACCTTTCAAAAGTCAAAGTTTGTTTAACGTTTATTTAAGTCTCTTATGCTCAAGCTGTTTTTTTTAAATCTACAGTATGGTAAATAAAAACAATATATTGTGAAACTTCATTACAATTTCAAATAACTGTTTTCTATTTGATTATATTTTAAAATGTTCCTGTGATGCAAAGCTGTATTTTCAGCATCATTACTCCAGTCTCCAGTGTCACATGATCCTTCAGAAATCATTCTAATATGCTGATTTGCTGTTCAAGAAACATTTCTTATTATTATCATTGTTGAAAACAGTATCATATTTTGTAGAAACCTTGATTTCTTGAATTTACTTCCAGGATTCTTTGATAAATAGAAAGTTCAAAAGAACAGCATTTATCTTGAATAGAAATCTTTTGTGAAATTGTCAATGTCTTTAATGTCTCTTGATAAATTTAATGAATTACAAGTAATATTTTCTTGAAGAAAAAAATCGTACTGACCCCTAACGTTTGAACAACAGTGTATATAATTGAATCAAGGAATTACTAATGTAAGGTTATTAATTCTAATATATAATGTCAGCTTCAATTATGAGATCTATTAATTTGGTCTATTGCTGAGTGAAAAATAAATTGTGGTGTTGTCAAGTCAAACTTAAATGTCAATACATATTCATTATTATTTTCCTTTTCACCCTAGATTATCCACATTCGGTAATTCTGGAAATGCCCATTATGATTATCCTAAAGACTCAGACATGATGGAGCTGTTCCAGTGCACTAAATTACAGACCAACAGGTAGGAGGATTCCCCATCCATCAGAGCTCTCTGTATCTGTGCTAAATTCAGAACTTCATAAAACAAGCTGCTTATAAATTAACTTCCGAGGCATTCACGTCAGTGGTAAAAGAATAAAGTTTTCTGAGTCACTAAGATTTATTTTCTCTTATGTTTATTCTCAAAGGTATAAGATCTCCCTGTTGAAACCTTCTACAAAGGCATTGGCTCTGTCCTGTAAAGTCTCGGTGAGAACAGACAGCCGAGGCTTTCTCTCTCTACAGTATCTTGTGAGGAATGATGATGGTCAGATTTGTTTTGTGGAATACTATTGCTGCCCTGATGAAGAAGTGGGAGAAGAGTAATTGGAAATGCTTCATTTGATTTATAACTTTTTATCATCTCCATCTTCATAACTGTTTTTGTTTTGTTTGATATTTAGTGTGTACTGACCTCACGGTTCTTTATTCTGATAATTTACGTTCTATGCTTAAATAGAAGCTTAATGTAGTTAGAAATAAAATAAAAAAACGTGTGGATTTTGTATTGAATTTGAGACAATACTATGTGTGATCGGCAGAGGGCGACAGAGAAATGCTAATTAGGCTACTGCAAATATTAGGAGTCTGATGTTGGGATTAAGGTTTTAAATGTATATATATTGTATATATTGTAGTATACAATGTTCGGTTTATAAGTCCATGTTTACTTTGCTCTAAATTACTGACTAACAGTGAAAGCTGTTGTCTGAAACATCTACATTTTAATGGGTGTTCATTTTATTACACGAATGCGTTGCGAGGCAAACATGAGTTGATGTTGATGCTGGCTGACGCACGCACTCCTTTAACAGAGAGTCCCAGAACAGCGCGCGCGATGCTTGAACTGCCGCCTCGCGACCAATCGCTTCTCCATTCGCAGCTGTCGAGGCAACACTGTTTCCGGGCAGAGGAACATCACAGGAGCAAAACAAGCGAGCTTCTGTCACTCTCTCATCTCAGCGGGATACTGCCCTGACTGATGCATGTCCGAGCTGCTTCTAGATGCTGCAGCAAACCCGACTAAAAACAAAGTTGCTATTAAATAGTGTTACATAATTTTTAAGCAAAGTAGACCGTTATTGTCTAATTTAATGAATGGCATTCTGAGAATCAATTTGTTTAAAACATCTTAGGGATTATGCCAAATGTGTCACTATATAGACTTGTTACAACAAGATATTTAAAGGGACATTTTTGTACATAGTTACGCACAGAGTCGGACCGACCAATGTTTGACATTTTGCTTTTAATGTCTGGTCTGTATTATTCTGCTTGTTGTCAATAAACTGGACATCTTAGAGCTACACTGTTGAACAAAAGTGTGGGGTCAGTAAGATATAAATATGTATATTTTTTAAAAGAAATTAATACTTTTATTCAGCAAGTAAAAATATGTATAATGTTATACAATTTTTGTATTTCAAATAAATGCTTTCTATTCATCTGATGAATAGAAAATTTATCTAACTTTCTATTCATCAAATAATCCTTAAATAAAACAAAAAGAAATTGTTTCTTGAAGAGCAAATCAGCATATTAGAATGATTTCTGAAGGAACATGTGACACTGAAGACTGGAGTAATGATGCTGAAAGTTCAGCTTTGCCGTCACAGGAATAAATGACATTTTAAAATATATTAAAATTGTAATCATATTTCACAATATTACTGTTTGTCTGCAGCCGTGGTGAGCAAAAGAGACTATTTTCAAAAATACTATCGACCCCAAACTTTAGAATGATAGTGTACATTGAAAGTGCAGATAGCAGCAGCTGTGGGCTTATTATCCACAAACCTATTCATCCCTACTTATGGAAAACAATTTATTGCATTTCAGGCATTCTGGTTTTCACCATCTGCCAACCTAAAAGTCTTTTCAAGGCCTTTAGCTCCAACAACATGCTGGCTATTTATTCATCAGTTATTGAAAAAAAAACTTAATTGAACTACCTTAAACAGCTGAAAATATTAGGTCTTCTCAAAATATTTGGGATCGTTTCAGGGATTTCCTTTCACTTGATCTATAAACTCTTAAGACTGTAAATATCCCTTACAAAATCACCTAATTATATGCGCATAAACCATTACTGACCGAACAGACAACAACAACAACATTCAGCGTAACCAAGTAAACACTGTCTACAGACCAAGACAAAGAGTATCATTTGATAAGGGTGAGCAACTTGATCCTGCTAGATCTACATCACTCCGGCAGGTGATGTCAGTCTGTTTAAACACAAGCTTGCTCGATGATGAAGATGGGGATCCTCTACCCATTCCTCAGATAAACAATCGAGCGCTGACCCGTTGTTTGATGTCTGGACATACCAGTGAATCAAGTGGTGTCAGGTTCTGGGTTTTGCAAACACAAACTCGGCAATGACCTAATTGTTGTGACACTCCAACAATTATCAACAAGAGAGCCCATGGGAGGTGAAGAGAAGGTGCACGGCTTTCAGCACGGCGTCACTAGGGACAGTGAGTCATCATATTGTCTGTTGTTACACTATAAATTAGAAGAAGACATGTATGCACTACGTAACCTTTAATACTGTTAATGATACTTAACGGTTTTAAACACTTTTTAGGGTCAACTTGAAACTAATTATACTCCAATAGTGGATAAAAGCTCAATTTGATCAACATCTGATATGTAATGTCTGACTTTCCACAAAACAACTGACCATGAAATTGATAAGCCGACAAAAGCGCAGCACCAACTCCTGCCTAGTCAGCTGAAAGGAACCCTGAAATGGGAAACTCTGCAGTGCATAAACATGATTTGAGTATATTCAGTATAACATTCCTTCACTTTGTGTTAAAAATAACCAACATTATCAAGCCATTGTTTGGGGACTGTGGATGTCACACGGGGTCATGTTTGCAACAGCTGGCCTTAACAGCCCTCTACAATCCACCCCCAAACCCATTAATACTGCTCTCCTTCTGCCTCAGCTTGCAACCATGTGTGAAATGATCCTTGATGATGGAGATGAGGTAATGCCTTCAGCAGCTCTGACATCACTTTAGCCTTTCCCATCCAGTGCAATTGACCATCACTAGGACAATGAGCTTTTTGTCTTACACTACCTTTTCATTAGGAGAAAAGGATGAACATGACACCTGTGAGTGGTTTAAAGAGCTGATATTGCAATGTTAAGCATATATATATATCAATTTCACAGTCATTTGTTTTGTACAAATTCGTACATCACATATTAAATGCTGATAAAATTGACCTTTTATTCACTAACGGATGATAATTATAGTCCATGTACTCTAAGTTGTGTCTAAAATCATTTTCAAGTTTCATTAACCGTATTAAAATGTGTCATTATTTATGTAGTGCTGATACGCACATGCTATATATATATAGTATTTTAACATGTATATATATAATTTGTGTATTTACATATATATTAGTGCTGTCAAATCGATTAATCGCATCTAACATAAACTTTTTTGTTTGCATAATATATGTATGTGTATATATATTATATATATATATATTATATATGTCTGTGTGCATTTACTGTATATATAGACATACACATATATAAGTATACACAGACATGCACACACACACACACACATATATAATATAAATATAATAATATATACACGCATATATTATGTAAACAAACAGTTTTATGTTAGATGCAATTAATCAATTTGTATTTGTACAATATAAATAGGCTATATATATATATATATACACACACACACATATATATAGGTCTATAGATAGATGTATTATATTATATTTTTTGTAGTGTAATAATTAGCATATAAAGAGCCCAATTAAAAATGGCATGGTCTAATGGGGAATATGAATAATTCTAACACACAATGAATCATGATCTTGTAGGTTTCTCTAATTAATCTGAAGTAGACACTATAATCAGAGGAATCCTGCAGCACTAATGGCAACAGTTTAATGTGGTTGCAAGGGAAACATGTCCATAGTGGTACACAAAACATGTTGTTTTCTGTTAGTTCCTTTTTTTTTTTACTATCCTATGTAAACACTCACAAATGTGACTGAAACTGGGTTTCAAAAATGTGCTATCACTTCTGTTTCTTTATTGAGAATATTTATGAAAAAACAAACAATAAACGTACGTGATCATCTTTGCTTGATATGTAATGATTACTGCTTTCAGTGTAGGTGATTTGGATCCGTATGACATTGATCTCATGTAATCAATTACGAGTAATTTTCAATCATGGCTGAATGAGAATCAGGAAGCATGCATATTTTCCCTTCTCCTTTTCCCTTTGATATCGTACGTGACATGCAAATTGACCTATCTGCCACAATCATGGAGCTTGGCGCACAGAATAACAGTATGACTACAGTCGATAACCACTTTTCACATGGCAGCTAAATGCAAGCACAGACTGGTTGTTTGCTAGCCCTCTAGACCTGCAGATCTCGGGTCTGTCACTCACCACCCTCCCATTACCTTGAAGGGTGGCAGCTGCGGCCCTGCACCACCAATAGGGTCTGTTTATCAGGCAATTAAGGTGACAACAATGAAAACTAATATGTAAAAATGTGGAATAGGAGGTGAGCGAGCAGTGCTCGAGACAGGTTTATCAGATACGGTGGAGTATGAAGGAAGGAGGGGGGTAAAGTAAAGGATGATGTCACCAGGACACAGTACATTTGAGCCTCGCTCTTGTGTCTCGTGTTTTCACACTCACACCCACGTGGACGTTGTGTTTTGGTAACGTATGTAGCCATTGCAGAGTCACAGAAACATACACATGATCTCTTCTCTATCAGGTAGTGAACTTTGGTAATGAACTTATTGTTCTCAGCTGTCATGTGGACACTGGAGCGAAGGGAAACGTTATTTATTTACAGTAAAGAGACTGTCTTTTGTGTTATTGTGCTGAGATGGAAATGAGCATGTTACGTTTGACCATTGAGCTTTGTATCAATTGTTCGTGTTTATGTCATAGAGGACTGTATGTACTCAGTGGCCAAACCTCAGGGTAAAAACCACAAGTAAAACACTGTACCATGCATATACCACTGTACCAATAATAAAATAAAATGAATATAAATAAATGTAAAATAATATTTTTTTGAAATATTGCAGTAGTCTGTTTTTATACAAATTTTGTATATAAAATGAATGCATGGTTTTGTATATAAAATTAATATGCATGGTACAGTGTTTTACTCGTGGTTTTTACCCTGAGGTTTGGCCACTGATACAGTCCTCTATGACATAAACATGAACAATTGAAAGGCCTAATATAGGCCTTTTTTTTTACAAGACTACTTGTTTTATATTTATCAATAGGCCTATTCATTTTATTTTATTACTATCACAATAAACAGTATCAGCCTTTATGAAATAATGAATTTCATGTCTACACCACTAACTAGGCTATGCATTTAACATTGAGGCGACTGATAAAGGCTTTGCCGTCCTAGAGCAGTCTGCGTGGGGCTGTATGCCCAGACATGTACCTGAATGGGGATTCCCCTCCACACAGTCCTTCCTTCATCTGCTGTCTGTGGGACAGGAGCTCTCCATCCATATATATGAAGTTAAGCTCCCCATCATGCGCAGGACATCTGCATTTAAACAATAGAT